GCTGATGTGTTAGCAGGCATTTGTGGTGCTCTATCCTCAGAAACAATGAGCTCATGTGTTACCAGCTTTATTCATCCTGCCGAGAGAATAAACCGCATTACAATGGACCAGCTCTTGACCCCAGAAGTTACTCAGAACCTAGATGAGGAGGAAGCCTGTTCAGATGAGGGCTGTGAATTGGGATCAGCTGATTGGACAGATGAGGAGAAGTCTATATTTATCCAAGCCTTGGGCACATATGACAAGGATTTCACTAAGATCTCAAGTTGCATGAGGACAAGATCAAGGGAACAATGCAAGATTTTCTTCAGTAAGGCTAGAAAATGTCTTGGTCTTGATGTGATTCGTCAAGGTACTGTCCTTGGGGGTACGCCATTGAGTGATGCAAATGGAGGAAGGAGTGACACTGATGATGCTTGTGTTGCCGAGATGGATTCTGCAATCTGCAGTACTCAATCTTGTTCCAAAGTGGATGTGGATGTCTCCCAGTCTGTGGCAAACACCAGCTATGAGGGAATTGCTCATGCTGCAGGCAACCCTTTCCATGCCGAAACTGATAGATCCAATGAACAGGATGGGGATGTATTTCCAGGACCTAATCTGGTGGGTGGTGACGAGAAGGTCAATAATAAGAAGGTGTCTATTTTTCATGATGATAAGCTGGCAAGCCAGGGGGGTAATCTTCAATCTAATACGCATCCAAAGGAAAGCATTGCTGCTGGCTTGGGATGTGCTGAAGCTATACAACTTTGTGAGGTTGCAGATTCAGCTGACAGAGAAACAATAGTTGGGGGAAATACTAATGTTGTTTCTCCAAATGTCTCGATTCTTACAATAGGAAAAACTGAGCCTGTTGTTGAAGCATGTTTGGAAGTAGAGTCAACAAAGTCAACTTCTAGTACAGTCTGTAATGTGGATACCACTGGAGGTTCTCCTGCTGAGGGCTTGAAAGTGGTAGTAAAAACTGAAGCATCACTGTCCAGCAAGGTTGGGTTGTCAAAAAAAAATACAACAAACATCAACCTCACAGCAAATGGAAAGGGCCTTCTTTGCTGTGGGCCAGATTCTAATGCAAGTGCTGCTGCCTTATTCTCAGGAACTGTGGCTAATGTTTGTCATCTGGCCTTTGACCCCAGATATCAGCAGCAGATACAACTGGATCTACAGCAGCGCAAACCGAAGCAACCACAGGCCATCCTGTTGAAGCAGGAAAATGTCCATCATGTACCATTGAATTCATTGTTGCCAGATCCATCTTCTATTTGTTTTGGGGGCACCCTTAATGTATCATCTGAGACTACTTTGAACTTTGAGCAGGGCAATAAATGGCACCAGAACCTGTTAAAAAGAGGTATATATCAGCAGTATATGCCCAGAAAGCTGTCAGTGAACCAAGTTGACCGGAACATGCATATTCTCAGAGGTTATCCGCTTCAGGCACTGAGTCAAGACGTGACGAGGGAAGTGGACCTTACAGCAGGCGAGAAGCCAAGTCTGCTTGAAGCTGAATGCAAGACGAATGTAGTTCCCCAATCAAATCAGTTTTTCATGTCAGACAAGCACTGGAACGAAAACAATCTTTTGCCTTCCAACTCTGGTATACTACGTTCATCAAGGAGTGAGAATCAGTCGGAGGTTGAAATTAGAACCTGTATCAAGAATGCTTCCTCTGAGATCGAAGAACACAGAACTGGAGATGTGAAACTGTTTGGTAAAATTCTTAGTCATACGTCTCCTTTGCCACAATCGAGCTCTTCCTCCCATGAAAGTAATCCCAGAACCTCACCGGAGTTGGATGGTTCTTCAACAACCAATTGTGCCAGTATCCGAAGAGACAATCACCGTCTCGTCCCAAACATTGGAAGTGGCCAAGTTGGCCTGGAGGCCCTGCCTGTGAGAACTTATGGCTTCTGGGACGGGAAGAGAAGACAGACAGGGTTTTCATCATTGCCGGAGACTGCTTCTATGTTGGCCAAGTACCAAGGATCACTGACTGGTGTGTCACTTTATTCAGCCAAAGATGGTATGCCTAGTGGCAACGGAGTTCTAACAGACTATCAGCAGTCTTATGTTCAGCACCTGTCCTCAAACGGGAAACGGGTAGAGAACATTTCTGAGTTGCAGAAGAGGAATGGAGGAATGGAGATGGTCTCTGGGTTTCAGCAGCAAGGCAGGGTAGCCCCTCTGGGTGCAAAAAACATGATGGGGGGAGGAATCTTGGTCGGTGGTGGTGGAGGGGTGTCCGACCCGGTTGCAGCCTTGAAAATGCATTATGCTGCGAGGGCGAGCACCCTCAACAATAATATCGAAGCATGGCGGGCAGACATGGGAGACAGGTAGCACGAGGCTGGTTAAATATAGGCGATGTTAGGGGCGACTCCCGGTGGTAGAAAGATGGTGGCCGTATAGGTTGGGCAATGAGGCGCTGCTCTTGCGCCTGTCTGTATCATATTTACTTTTTTGTAACTCCAATGGAATCAAACAGGTGAGTAGATTTGCATTCCTGTCCAAATTGTCATCTGATCTCCATTTTCTATTTTCGTTGTTACGCTTTTTTATTTCTACCCCTTCAGTAGGTTAAAAGGTTATTAGCCCTTTTTTTAAGTCTTTTTGGTCATAAGGGTGAAAAAAATCAAAAGTGGCAGGAATCATTTTCATGCACTGACATGATTTGGATTAACAGAATAGTTTGAAGAAGGATGGATGAGAGATAAAGCAGGGACATACAGTGACGTCAATGTAATGAGTTGTATGTTTCACGTTCATCACTCTCCTGTATTAGTAGTTACGTTGTTGTTTAATTACTATTTACTTACATGAATGTTTAATGGAGGGTTTTTTTTTTCTTCATTATTTGCTTTTTGTGAACTTGTTTTTCCAGTCATTTTTCATCTCTTAAAACTGAAACAAGAAATGCTGTTTTTGTCTGCAGAGCATGCTGTTTTTGTCCCTGAAACAAGAAATTACTGGTAGTAAGACTTCGACCTTCCTCTATTATACTCATTTGATCTTTTCTAAGCTTGCACCAAATTATAAGACGTTTCTCTGGGTAGCAAAGATGTTTCAGTGAGAAAGGAACACTTCCGTGGGGTTGGGGGTTTGAGATTTACCGGGTGATGAGTCGAACATGTTATGTTCTCCATATTATCACGGGGTCCGTTCTGGCTGCTGAGCCTGAAAATTTTTGTTAGAGAAATAAATCATCGACAAAATAACTCCACCTGATTTGAAATTGTCAACTGCCAGCCAAGTGAAGGAATCATCGGTGTACCTGGAGGAAGAACATGATGAGAAACGAACGGGAGGAAGAACTACCAACGCTTGCAGTCCTTTACACTCGAAGGAGGGTTAGGTTCACATCGGTAAGGATCAATCCTCTACCAAAGAGAGCCTCTCGACGAGGAATCAACTCCTTACAGAGGGATGGGGGTCAACAATTCAATACACGAGTGTTCCTCGACTCTGTCAGCATTCGCCTTATGAGTGAAGTTGAAGAACTAATCGAAGAGAAATAAGTTGGACATGTCGGATGAATTAGACGTTGCACTTCGGATCTCTCTCGTGAGAGCCTCGAAACACGCCTTGGCGACAGCGACTGAGGGGGAGGATAAATGATAGGGAGTAGACGTTGCACTTCGGATCTCTCTCGTGAGAGCCTCGAAACACGCCTTGGCGACAGCGACTGAGGGGGAGGATAAATGATAGGGAGTACACCATCAATTAATCGTTATTCGACATATGATCGTCACGTAATATCTAAGGCAGAATGAGAAGACATGTCACCGTCTTCCTATCTGCTCATATGAGTAAAGGTTCAAAGTGGCCAGTTATAGGCTATCCCCTCTCGATGAGGAATTAACCCTTTACAGAGGGATGGGGGTCAACAATTCAAGACACGAGTGCTCCTTGACACGAGTGCTCCTTGACTCTGTCATCATTCGCCTAATGAGTGAAGTGAGAGAACTAATTGAAGAAAAATAAGTTGGATATGTCGGATGAATTAGACGTCGCACTTCGGATCTCTCTCTCTTGGCGACAGCGACGGAAGGACAAATGATAGGGAGAATGAAACGATGCCCATTTTGCTGGCAGTATGATAGATAATATTAGAAATCAGTTTCCAAAAGAAAGAATCATGTACTTCCTTAAGAGAACTCGCCGCCGTGCTACTTTCTTGGGTGTGCCTGGATGGATGACACCACCGCCATCTTCTCCGGTGGAAGAATTCGCCCCATTTCCGCGACTGCCTAAAACATTTGCTGGATCGGCGGAGATCGAGCGCGAGGATCTCGACAAATTCGTTAGTGAAGGAGAGGGCGAGAGATGCGCATACCGAGGAAGGGATTGAGATGAGAGTTCATGGCGAGGGAGGGAGATGGGAGATGGGAGAGGGAGAGGTTGTGATGGGGGATCGGGATGGAAATGGGTTGGGAAGGGAAGTTAAGGGCAGGAGATTCGAATATATTGGATCAGCGAATAACAAACAATACGCTGATTTCGATTGTATTCTTACAAAACTCCAAAGCATTTATATGTGCTTTAATAAAAACAAATCTAATTAGCTGGTAAAAATCAATATTTTATCAAAATATCTTACCTCGAATCTCATCATTTACCTTTTGCAACAAAAAAAAACCCATTAATTAATTTTAAATCGATTGTTATTTGAAATTCTAATTGATATTAACACTTAAAAATTTATATATATATTATGATGATGTAAATATTGAGAGAACCAAGGTATGCAATACCATATCGTACCAATGTTTCGAGGTCGGCTCGATACAGTACGGTACCAACGTACCGAGCGATACATCATGATATATCGAACAATTTTATATATATATTTTTTTTACTGTAGCACTGCTACAATATAATACTATAGCACTATAGCACGTTCTGTTCGGTACCGGACGGTCCGCGTACCAGTATGTCATTGGACCGGTACATACCGCCTTTACCGAGCAGTACCATTCAGTATTACATATCATGGAGAGAACTATATATTTTATTTTTTTAACTTATCATCAATATTAACCATACACACATATATAAATATCACTGGACGAACATAATGACAAACAATAAACTACAAGCTGATGCTAAAATGTTGGGATGTATTGTGGGCATATAGAATAAGAGAAATGGAAAACAAATTATAGGACAAGAACATGCAGAAACCTGTGCTCCATGATCCTCTTCATTATGAGGTGGAATCTATTAGATAATCATCTTCCAAGGCATCCCACTAGTTCATGTATATAATCTCCTGAACAACAGTAAAAAAAATCTAATTATACAATATAAATTCAGGAACATTTATAATAATGTGTAACAGGTAGTTTTCCAAAGTAGGAACTGCTCCATGGAGCTTATTGTGTTTGGTTGCATCTGCAGAAACTTGTGGCCACAATTATCATGTCCAGATTGCAAAGATTTTTTTTTTTTTCAGAGTGCCAAATTTGCATATCCTAATAATAATAATAATAATAATAATTTACCCACCAATTGTTTTCAAAAAGGTTGGGGAAAATACAATATGTTTATCCATTTAATTGAATGGAGTTTTCACATGCATAAAGAAATAAAGTACTATACAGATAATTCTTTGACATGTACAAGATTAACAATTAGATAGAGAATTAGTGTTACTTTCAGATTAGTACATATTTGCAGTTCTGCTTCCAAAACCAATATTAACATTATGTACAAATAGGCATATCATGTTCTCACTTACCATGCGATAAGTCTTGACTATCTCTACTTCCAAATTTATATATATAATTACTTAAGACATTTTTTTGGAGAAAAAATTCTATCATATTTCAGTCTCTACTCAGCCAATTTTAATTTTGGTATAACAGAACACTGGTGCATTATCGAATTGAAGAAAGACAGACAACTCTACTATGTGTAGGATTCAAGAAAGAAACTGACCTATTTAATGTTCGTTCAAGCATTTCATCAAACAGGCAGCGGCTCCAGGGGCAAACTTCCACACTCGTACCACACCTCAAAATCTCTCTCCACCTCTTCAGCAGCAGCATCCTCCCCCAATCTCCTCAACCCTCTTATCAGAAACTTAAACAAGAACTCGTCCGGCTCGAATCCCCCGCTCTTCAAATTCCCGTAAACATCTCTCACAAGCTTCGCCTTTTCAGCCGCCATCAAAGCCCTAACGAACCGAGAAATCTCCTTGGTATTCTCAGAGGAGATCCATCCCTCCTCATCCTCAAGCAGACAGGCCACCAGGGCATCGATTTCATCCGACGCACCGCACCTTGCCAAGCTGGACACCATCTCGGCGTAGAGGGCGAGGTCAGTCCGGTACCACGGCTCCCGGCGGGCGGCCGCGAAGGCCTTCGAGGAGAGGCCCCACTCGTTCTGGCGCTGCAGTTCCGCGAGTGCCGCAAGGAGGTCGGCCTTGATGAGGCGACCCAGGTCGACGGAGATGATGCGGTGGACCCTGGCCTCGTCGCCCGCGGCCGCGGCGCGCTTGAGGGCCTGGACGGCCAGGATGGCCTCCGTGCTGAGGGTCCGGCCACGGAGGAGCTTCCCGCGGTTGTCGCGGGGGCCGCAGGTGACAGGGGCAGCGAGTCCATGGCTCGGGCAGGGGAGCTGCTGCTGCTGCGGCGGCGGCGGCGAGCGGCGTAGAAAGAGGAGGCGCGTGGTCGAGAGGGATAACGACGCCATGGGACCTCGGTCGCTTCGGCTTCGGTCTTGACGTGTCTTATACCCATCGAACGGCGATGCATACCTCCTCTTCTTCCATTTCGAGCTTCGTCAATGCATTTTCTTTCTATTATCTGATGCTTCACACCCATCTCCAAAAAAAAATTAGTAAAAGCATTAAGCCACAAATATGACTAGTCAACTAAAACAAGTTTCCATCAATAATAAACTCATGATTAGTTCCTGAAAGCATTAAGGGAAATCAGCAAAATACAACATAAATTATTCCTGCATCATCATAAAAGAAATTAGCAAACAATGATAACTGTACATGATCTTTACTGGAAAATTTGGGTACGGACCTACCTAAATAGCTAACCGGATCTCAAGTAACTAATCGGATTGGACTAAGCGGATCCGACGTGAAACCAATTCGTCAATACGTTTGCAAGGGAATCTGTCTGTCTACATTCTTCGGGTATGGACCCAAAACAGATCCTCGTTCGGATCCATAAAGATCTCCCTGATAACGGTATGAATCCTAGATCTATATAAACCAGACAGTGAGCTACAGGCTAAAACAAGCGGAGGCAACTCTACAAGCTCTCCAATGAGGATTACAAGTAGCTTCCGATCCAAAGCCTAAAAAAATATGCTGCAACGAATATGTATGACGACTAATGAGGTTTACAAGTACCTTCCGATCCAAAGCCTAAATAAACATGATGCATGTAACAAATGTCGGCCAAAACCTCTGCCTCTGACACAATATGCAATTAGGCACTTGTCAGGGAAGAACGTCGCCTAAACATGACAGAGCAAGATGTGAAAGCACAAAGTTACCTAGTTTTAACATAAGAGCACAAAGTGAAGCAGGCTTCGAACTGATCAGGACAGGCAGAGGCAACAAGATGAAGATCCACATGACTTTGCACATAAGAATTATATTGAGAATATCAGAATTATACAAATCTATATGCTGATGAGGTAGAGAAAATCCCAACATGTACAGGAAGACCAACTATCATAAAGCCTTTCATTCCACCAATTCAATTGGCATTTGTGTCCTGCAATTTCTAAAAGCTAATGCAGCATTCTTTTAATAGCCATCATCAGAATTGATAAGCACAAAAATCCAGATCAAGCAAATCGAGTACGATATGCACACCAATCATACTTTGGCTTTACAACTTTGGAATGGCCTGCCGCAGAACCCCATTGTACAACTTGCTGCTTGCAACCACATTATGTCTGCAATTCAGAAAAAACAAAACAAAGTTACACAAAAATCCAGTCAATATGGAATAATTAGAAATTAATTAACACAAGAATAAATAAATAAATAAATAATTCAAGCAAACGCCTTGAAAGTTGTCTCACCAGCAGGCAGGAAGCTTAACAATGATCGGGATTTCTGCTGACATATTCAAGCCACTTGCCCCTGAGATTAGGAACATTGACTTTTCTGCCTCACAGCAAGATAAATGTAGCCAGTAATCGCTTTGTGATTGAAAAAGAATCCTCGAATATCATGCAATCACCAAGGTGGAAAACCACCTCCTAGTCTTAAGAAAAATTCTATGAGCTAATTCTCCATTAGATGATTAATCAGAGTCTGTATTTATTGACAGATGCAATCGAGGCCTAGCGGACCGTCGCTGCCGGGGATGTGAGAAAGGATGATCAGACCTTTTATTCTTTGAATTTACTTTATCCGCTCTATTATCATTCATGCTCAGGAGTAAAGAAGCTGCATCCACATGGTGAGAAGCAAACTTTACTATAACAACAAAGCAATTGATAATTCATGCAAGAAATAAAATAATCATAAAGGGAAGAGCAATCACAAGATAATGACAAATGAAAGAACAATGAGATGAATCTCAGATACAAAAGCAAAAAGATTGGAATATGGAAGCCTGGGAGTCTGGTAGTATAAACTAGCAACCTAGACGACATTGACAGTGTTGAATAAAAAATAAAATTATACAAAAAAGAAATGGAATGGGAATATTAGTGTGTCTAGTGTTGGTATTGGATGCGACTGATAGGTCCATATAGACCCTAAATGTGCAGCACTGGCACCTGCTGAGCATCATATAGACACTGTGCTACATGGTGCCTGTATGATGCTGATATGGCATACATTGGCATCAGACCAGCAGGAACAGGGCACTTACATGCCACATCAACAGAAATTAGACTCCAAAAGACATGATCCCATTGGTACATTTTCCATCACATTTTTAACATCAGGACATACTTTATATTTAATAAAAATGAAATACCACATGTATTCAGATTTATAGGTATTCTAGTTACAACCAAACTAAGTTCTTTAAATATCATATCATCCAAAAGCTATTCATGTGGGAAAAAAAGAGGTTGGGCCATCAGATCTTGTTGGGTACTATATACTATATAGAACCTCTAGGTAAGACATAAATTTGAAGTTTAAATTATTTCCAAGCCAATGACCTAAAACAGATTGATGCAGCATCAAGAAAAGAATGTGACTGTTTTATCGACTAGGTACAAACCAGCTCCATCTAATGGCTCCATCCTACTCTCCTTTGGTGTGTGTTGCTGCCCTGACCTCGGTCTAGTAGAAGGGGCAGATCCACCATCACCACCGGCAAGGGTGAGTGATATCCAATCATCAGAAGTGACCCCATTTGGCACTTCAGGGCGGTCATCCAAGTCATCCTGCAAAGGAATTCCAGTTGGTTGACTGGGAAGAAAAATTTGCAGAGATGGATCATCACTGCAAAACGGCAGTGGATTATCAACCAAGCTTTCATGTAATTCAGTACTCGAATGGCAAGTAGAACGATTTTGCATTCTTGAAGTGTCTCCTAAACCAACATTGGATGCTAAGCCATAGACATCAGTTAGTACACAGCCAAGGGAATTATCTGAATCAACTAAAGGATCTTGCACTTCAGCATTTGCTCCAAATAGCTGGAAGCCAGGGCCTGCCTGAGGGCTCGCATGTATATGCCATAGTGGCATGGCAAAGTCATCAGTATTATTGTCCAACAAAATGGAGCCAGAAGTTCTCATCCCAAGAGCAGTGGATTCAGGGAATCCCTCTGAACCTCTCGGAGGGCTGGGAAAAGGAATTTCACTATCAACAATTGCACGAGTATCATAAGTTGTTTCAGGAGAAATTAGTGACGGATTATCTTCATCAGAATCACTGAGGACAATAACATCTGGACTATTCCGTGGTGATGAATGAAATGTATTCCCAACAGCATATGTTGACTCAATATTTAGACCTGGAGAACTAGGCTCATGGCGACGGTTCAAAGATAAACCAGAACACCCTGCAGCCTCTTGATTGACAATTAGATCTTCCACATCTCTATAACTACCAGATGCACTACTGCTCATAGGCATGATTTGACAATGACCTTCAAGCTTGTTGAAGTCATGATTCTGAGATGATTGAAGACTCGTGCTGTCAGGTTTACTAAATTCCCATAATCCCTTCCGGTTTCGCTTCAGTTTCAAACTTCTATGCACCTCTGAAGTATCTTCCTGCTTAATCTGCTTTAGTTTCTCCAAGTCAGGTTTCACCTCTGTACATGTGTTGACACAAAGGGAACCATCAGGCATATGCCATTTAGAAAGATCGTTAAATTCATTTTCATTCCTAACACGCCAACAACCATCAGGTTTCACATCAATCTCATTTACATCTTCTCCACAATTTTGCAACTGTATCACCAAAATGAAAAGAAGCGTTCAGTAGTCACACTATTAAACCAACTGAAACTTGAAGGATTGACAAAAGTACCTACCAAGGAAGTAATGCAATTGAAATATGGGTCAACAATGATGTTTTCAAGGGAATAGTTCTTGAGACATATAGGACATTGCCACTGCATAAGGTAAACATATTTCTTAGTGCAGAAAAGAAAAAAAGAGTAAGATGCAATTGTTCAGAAGTACAACCTTCCGAGAACGCTGATTAAGTTCCACGAAAGTTTGTAGATCGAAGCACCCCATATGAACACAAGGCTTAAACCTGCCGGCTATCCTCATCCGAGAACCACTCATCTGCAAATCAAAAGGAGAGGAAGTGAACTTCTGCATATTTAAAATTTTAAAATCAGTGAGATGAGCTATTTCAGCATTTTGTTGGGTACAATATGGCTCAGCATGATATGGTTAGCAGTTAGCACAAACCTATGCTGGTCAAATCTGACCAAAAATTAGCCTGACCTAACCAAAGTAGAGAAGAGCCAGCAAGGCTCAACACAGCTAGGTGCAAAACCCCAGGCCAAAAAGACAATCTTTTTTTGCAACATGAAACAACGGAAGTTCAGTGACCAATATATCCAAAATGAACTTCCTGTATGTAAGTGCAAAGAAATTCAAATGATTTTTTGTTTAAAGACAGGCATGATGTCAATTAAAAGGTTAAACAAATCTCTATTGGTCTCGAAACACAAGGATGCAGCAAGTTACTAATACTCGTGCCTCAGTCAACTAGTCTTATACATGACACTATGAGCACTAGTTTGTACACTTCCACTTACAGGACAACGAAGACTGATTGTGACAGAATTAGCTACCACTTCTAAATCACTATCACTGTCAGCATTTTCTGTAGCAGCTCCACCACCAATGCAGCGACAAACACGAGCAAGAGCATCTTCAAAGCGCTCACCATCTCCTTCCTTTGGAACCAAACCAAGAACCTAGAAACAAAAAATAGGTCCCATAAAGAAAGAGCCAATCAAATCAAATAAGTAACAAACTATCTACATAAAAAAATAAGCAACAATTTCAAACAAATAGGATCAGATGCTCAAAAAACACATTAAATAGTAATTATCTCAGTACCAAACATAACTAGAACACTTAAATTATGCGAAACAATTGTGCAAGTTTTCTTTTCCTTGCAAACTATCAGAAAATAGGAATAGATCACAATGAAATGCATTTTAATTGGAAGTCCCTAATAACATTCGATAGTATCTACCGCATGATCATTAAATTTCAAGGCTTAGCATATGGCTTATAGATAGAAGCAAGGTTCGAAATACCGTACCGTACCGGTGTTTCGACGTTCGCTCGGTACGGTACGGAACGGTATACCGAGCGGTATACCGTTCGGTATATATATATATATATATATATATATATATATATATATATATATATATATATATATATATATATATAACTCGCAGACAGTATATATATATATATATTAATATATATATTATAAAAGATTATATATATATTTATATTTTTTTATTTAAAAGCCGACGTCGCATCGCCTCGACGACATCGCCTCATATATATATATATATATATATATATATATATATATATATATACGAATTGGCGTCTCGGCGACGTCGCCGAGCCTTTTTTTAAATATTTTTATATAAATATAAATATATATATATATATATATTATTTTATTATTATTATTCGTTCTGCCTGGTAACGGGCGGTCCGCATACCGGTATACCGTCGGACCGGTATTATTCAGTATTGTCTACCTTGGATAGAAGTAATCATTCATGCAAGACGTTCCAAAACAACAACTATCAAACTTGTCCATAACAAAAAGCCATAAGTAATTTAAACTGTATGGGAAATGAAGATAATTTCAGGCAGTTAATCCACTTAAAAAGATTTCTAATCCAATTTTCCATTATTTTTTTCTTATCAGATTAACTTTTGCATGTGATCCAGAACTCCTAAATTCCTACATTGAAGTTTCACCTCGTCAATGTCATTCAATTTTATTAGATATAAAACAACTAAAAAAAATAAAATCGGTAGAAATTTTCTACTCCAGAGTCATCCAGAAAGGGGACAACTTCTTAAAACAACAAAGCACCAAAACAATACAAACAATAAACAATTCATAGGTTTCAGATCTTCGACTATTGCTTCTATTGACCCAATTTTATATATCAAACTAATTATTTAGTAAGATCAAAACAACTTATCTAATGCAGCAAGCAACCCAGTTAACTAATTCAATATGTATTGTAACGCAAAATAATGAATCAACCAACACTACCCACAGAGATGCAATCCAAACTAAGTGGTCTTCCTCAACACTGCGTTTTGGGATAAAAAAGAAACCATCAGTTAGCTTCGAGAGGATCATGCTTATTATTAGTGATGCCTGTCCAACTTCATATTTTATCATTCCTTGATGTATCTAATAAACAGGTTCCCATTTTGTCATAAGATTCTAAAACCTTTTATGAATTAAGAAGAATACGAAAAAGAATGCCACAAGTCCTGATAGGATCCAAGAAAGAATGAAACTTAAGAAACTTCAGAAATCAAAATACTATCACAGAAACTTCAGAAGTCAAAATATTATCACATCTTAACAACTTGTTTGTAAAAACCTGTCAACTGTGAGCATAATGCATGCTGTGATATATTAAACCCATAATAATAATTGGCACCATGGACCACAGTTTCATGGTCGCTAGCTGGACTGGTACATACCAGTTGGTAGCGGTATACCAGTAGTCCAATACACCAGTAGGTACTATCTTTTGAATAAGAAGAAGAAAGAGAAGAGGAAAGGGCAATGGAGGAGGAGGAAAAAGGAGGAAGGAAGGAAGAGAAAGAAGAGGAGACAGTGGAGAAAGAGGAAGAGGAAGAGAAAGGGGAAGAGGAGGATAACAGAAGGAGAAAGAGGAGGAGAAAGCATACCTATCGATGGTGCATGATAAGCAACTGGTGGCTGCACGAGGCAAAATGGAAAGGACTCCCATTCGGGGCAAAGAGGGCTCACATAAATTATGTTCTTAAAATTTTCCTTTTTAAGGTTCGGATCGGACTGCCCAAGACAATGGCAGTCCACATGAAGTATGCACTTCCCGTTTTGTACCGGTCCAGGCGAAACATCAAACACTGGTTGGTGCAATGCAGGGTAAGTTGCCATGAAATTCTTCTACATTAACTAAGCCGCACACCAATTTTATCATGTAGATTAATCATTAACCAATATTTCAGAAAAATAAATGACTCAAAACTGGAGCCAGGTTAACAGTCATATTCCCTCTTACCAGCTAACAAGCCACAAGAGTCCAAAATATTGGATCCAAATAAAAGAAGACAATCAAACAAATAGAACATATACAAAGAAGGCAAAATAATATAATTAGGCACAATAGCTCATACTAACAGCACATAATGATATTTCCACACGTAATATAAATAAATAATCTAACAGGCATCTCAGTTAACTGATTATTTGAGAACTGTCATGGGGAACAAAGTCAAATTATTAGACAAATTACCTGTTGTATTGACCGCCTTTTTGCAAGTCTGATTCCAAGACAGAATACTCGAGCATCATGCCATGATAAACAAATTTTGTTAATTCCTTCCTTGCTGCATGTGGTGACCTGAATAAAGCAACCAAATGATAGGTGGACAACCAGGTCAACGTATAGATATACAGGGAGTTACAAGTTGCTTAAAAAGCAATTTAAAGAACTAGGTCCTAATTTGAAAAACCATGAGTAGTTCTCTGCTAGGAATTAATAATAATTCCACCATTTTGTTATAGGTTGTCTCCAAAAAGCCTGGCCTACAGTCTACGCACCAAACTAGCCTTAGGATGCTTAGGCTATGCAAATGAAGACCATCATATGCACATAAACTGGTGTTACAAATTTGCATATACACAAATGATGATCTAAAAGGTCCTGTGTTGTGCAATTGCAAAACTTCATCCAACAACATTTAAGGCACATGGAATTGCAAAATATTTAGTAGTGGTTTTAAAATATATAATTTCAATAAATTTACTGATTGGGCTGATACCTAGGCACCTAGACTATCACCTGGGCCTTAGATTACATCCATGGCCTCAGATAACCAAGGCAATTAACACCTATGCATTCCACCAGATTCTTCACGGCTTGCCATTCCATACATGAGAAATTACATCACATTTACACATGAAATTATTGATTTAAGGAAAATAAATTTACATTTACTACAAGTTAAGATCAATGATCAAAGCATCTATAATTGTAACAAGTACTATGAGCCTCTCAAGGAACAAAGAGACTGACCACAGGACCATCATCCCGACCATTTATACCCAACAACTGTGACCCTTGTCTCGTAACCACTCGGACTGCATCTCCTGCAGGAAATGGAAACATCAGTCTGATCAAGCAAATCAATCTGCAACTTGAATGTAGACACATATAACATGCCCATATTAGTCACCATCCTACAAACATGTTATTAATCTGCTTTTTCAGCAGTCACACTAGTTGTTACTTATGCTTCGTAGTCACTAGGTCACAGTGCAAGTCTTACACAATGAACAAAATCCTGAAAGTCAAAGAAGCAATAACTTAGGGGTAAATGAGGGACCAAGAATGTTCAAACACAATGATACATCAACAACAAAATCATGACATATTCCACCAACTGATGTAAGGGCAAATTTCTTCCATACCGTTGACTTGCAGCTCTGCAAATTGTGGCCATTGCATTCTAAATGGAACCTTATCATTGAGTAGTAGACACCAAACCTGCAAAACATCACACCATTAAACTCATTGTCCACCATAGCCTCTTCTTCCTCCATATTGACCATCAAGTGGTGATCATGGAGTCCACGGTCATGATGGCGACAAAAGGTGGTAGTGGTAGGGATACTTGGGGTGGTCTTCATGGCTAGCAGGAAATGCAATAGTGGTGGCAATGAAGGTAATGATGATGATAACAATGGTGGTGATGGTGGTGGTAGCGAAGGTAACATGGTGGTGATGGTAGAAGACAGTTGTGTCACAAGCAGGGTGGTAGTAACAAAAGCAGAGGATGGATGTGAACCTAGTAGTGATGGCAAAGAAATTTATGATCAAGTACTAGTAGCGGAGATTATGATGATAAATGGGAGGATATAGAGGCTGCAGCACTGGATGGTGGCCAGGTGAAAGTGAAGAAGAGGAAGATAAACCACAAATTAAAGTGTGAATTCAAATAACAGAATAATAAAAAAATATCTCAATGCAACATGTTTAGAAGACTGAAAACTGTTGGAATTTTCAAGTGTGTACAGATGACATCTTGAAAGGTATATATCCAAACACATTTTTCTAAACTGATTAACATATACATTTAGTGATAAAAAATATGCTAACAGCTGTAAAGCATTAAATGTGTTATTACATTATTCCGGCAACTCACTGTTGTCATAATCTTGTAATTATGGATTAGCTTCTGCAAGTACAAAAAATTAAGAAATTAGGTTGATATGCTAGAGGTCCTTCAAATGCTTCTCTTGCCATATACGAGGGACCAATTGCTGTCACTATACCTTTTCCAGCTATGTGAATACTTGACATGTCCTGTTCCATGATTCCTATAATGGAGGATCTCAGGAAACCGTTTTTTAAGGGACGTTGCAACAATCAATTCAAGATTCGACGGTGATTTTGATATAATTATTTCATAATGTTTTCTCTCTAAGTCATAACTATATGCACATGATAAGATGCTGATTAAAAGTTCTCCATTTACAATTAAGCATCAGTAGTGAGTCGCAGCTAAGTTGCGAATAATCAGCCTCATTGAAGAAACGAGTCATAAATCTGTCACAGATTACTTCATGTAAATGCAAGCAAAGATGGAACATGTTAGTTCTTATTAGTGCAAAAAACCCACTGGCATGTGTCAATAACAGGCATATGCACCATCATGTGGTTCCAGCTGGCACATACCAAGGGGGGGCCATATATGCAAGCTTACCCCTGCAAGGAGGTTGTTTGAACAGCTCAAATCCTGATCACCTAGTTCACAAAGGAACAATCTTACTATGACACCAAGACATATCCTATTGGACTCTAATTTGAACATTTGGTCTTCTTAACCACGACAGTACATATGAACCAACTGGTAGAGTCACATTTGCAAAGACTCAAACTCCAAAAACCAGTGATTAAGAAAAACGAGAACAGAAGCCAACCTGGAGATCATATTCAGCTCTCTGTAACGATTCTCTATGTGCTCTTGACAATTGAAATGTCCTTTCCACATTTTGTGATGTGCTTGTACTGAAAAAATTAGAAGCAAAAAACATAACAATGTAATCGACAAAAGGATAGAGAGGTATACGGAGATTAACATGAACCACGAAAAAACCATCACTTCTGCAAAATCAGCTGATCAGTAATAAAATTTGTGTAAAACACAGCATAGTCATAAAAAGATTACAACACAAATATAAATTTCTTGCATAAATTGATAGACAATCACAAAAAAGAACACACTTATAAAAGTACTCTAGTTTATTAAACCTTCAAAAATCATAATGAGATTTATACCAAATCTTGTATTCCTCACATAGTAACACTATTATTAGCTGCAGCTCTGCAGTCAAGTTAGATATTCAGAATTCACACTTCCTTACTCTTCCAATATTATCAAAATTTAATAAAATTCGAGCAGTTTTTGGCTGGAGTTCTATAAAATACTCATAATGGTTCATTACTTATGAGATTATGTCCTTTGCCTGGTAGCCTTCTTTTCTTCCACAATCCATATGTGGTACTTACACATGTAACCAGAAACGTCTTACAACATTGGTAACTCATAATCTTTTAGAAATTGAAAGAAGAAAGGAAAATGTCATAAGTAATCAACAGATCATTCAGACGAGACTCAATTGTTTTGGGGCGCCTAATTGTAAAGGTTGCTGACCCAATAAAGCAAAATATACAGGCACCCCACCACCTCAAAGTAGAATAGTAACCAAACATGTTTATGATCATGAATACAGAATATAAGAAGAATAGATGGAAAGAGAAATGAGGGTTGATTTGAACCATTCCTGAGGAAGAAAACCATTCATTGGCAATCTGACAAAGGACATTGAACAGTAGCAATTTAATAAGTTCATGTGATTGTCTTTTTTGTTCCAATTTTCTAGTTACTGTAGCAAAGAGTGACCAATAAATTGACTCGCCTAGATATATAGTCACATTCATGAACTCAACAACAAAAAGGTAAAGCATGAACTCTCAGAGAGAGAGAGCAGGGCGGCCGGCGGCGGCGGGGGCGTGTGGAGAGAAGAGGATCCGACTTCAAAAAAATATTCTCAGATAGAACTTACTATAAGCAAGAGAATATCACATCGATAAAAGAGGGAATCAATTTGGGTTGCTGGATATACAATAAAGTCAACTTTCCATCTTACAAATCACTACTCTAGAACATGCAATGTTCAAAGGCATATGATAAGAAGTTTAAAACCTAAATTCCAAAATTCAAGCAAAGATGACATCTTGAGACAGTTCACATTCGAGCATTATTCTTTTCTAAAGTCAAATGATCAAGTGTTTATGACTTTTTTTAATTCATGAATATATGTATATGCAAAGTGATTTCTAACAGAGTACTCACCCATCAGCAGTGACTCCAGAGGATGTCAACTTTATAGGAAGCAATGGATGCCCTATCGTTATCCAGAACCTGTATCTCACAAGGATGGCACTAGCATCAACAATCTATTAAATGTCTTGTGAAAGGTACAGAAAGAGAAAAAAAAGGGGGGCAGATAGGACAATAAGATTTGTACATCTTTCATAGAAGAAACTTGCTGAAATACAAGAGTCCTATCTTAGCTATCAACGAGTAGTCTAAGTTTTTTGAAATATCTTATCCTAATCAAGCCAATTCTAAATGGCCTTATCTTTTTATAATTCATTCCTACAGCTAGTGCTTCAGTTCCATTTTAACTAAAAAATTACAGTGATCAAATACAGCTTGCTCCTCCAATTTTCTTTTTAAATAATTTTGCATGGACAATCATGTCGACAATCTCATCAGTATCATATCAACCTCTCTAATTCATGTCGAGTCAGTCAGATAAACGTTCAAGCAATTACCACATATCAAAGCTTGTACTGACTAACAACTATGCGCCCAACCAAACTTGCTATATGATATAGATGAAGACATGCATATTAATTTACAAAAGAAAGGCAGTGCTAACTGAGTCTGACTAGAATCATGTGTTACACAATTTTTAAGCAGGTAATAGCACGATATACCATGTTCAGAACCCAAATCTATATTAAATAGAGTATAGCTCATTCTGAAAACAAACATCAGAATCTTGATGGGAGTACACTGTAGAGATATACCAATACTGTCTGAAACCACTCATAAATAAGCTAGCTGAGATTCATTGTAAAACAATGGAGCTTATGCTTAAGAACATACTACTTGTAATATAAGAAGAGAGATAGGCATGACATACGGATCAGCCCTCTTGATTCTGCATATTTCACAATAAAAGCGAGGAGGAAGTTCAGGTGAAGCACCCTCTAAAGTTCCCTCGGGCATAATAACACATCCTATGTGCTGCCACACTCGACATCGAGGATCTTCACACTGTAATCAGCAAATGCAACTGTATAGATGAATATTTATAAAAATCTAAAGAATAGTTTATCACAGCAAAGAATTACATGTGCTGGGCATAAAATAATATAAAATAATACCTGGAAAAATAGTAAGAGAACATTTGAGGGAAACAACCGAGTAACAGGAGTCATCAATGTCCAAAAAAAAAGATTTTTGGCTCTTAAATGAAGAATACAAAAGAACATAAAAGTTAAACAAATAAGTTGTGATCTATCCAGCCTACCCGGACCAGAAAATTAGAACCCTAGAAATCTCTGTAGATAACTAATAGTCACAAAATAATAAACAATTCAAAGGGGAAAAAAATGCAATTAGCAGAAAAACACAAAGTACATCAAATAGAAAGCAATGATAAACTAGAAAAAAGATGCAAGATGTGCAAAGGTTGGAAATAGGCAATTTGCTCCACATACTCAGTCCAAGCATTCAAAAGTAAAGCATTTTCCTCATACAAAAATTAGTCAATGAAGAAAAATGCATCAACAACTACAATTAAATTGAAGTTAAAATTTACTGATGTTCTGAAAACATAAACGGTGATATTGCTACGTCACACAGTCATAACCAATAGATAAGTCATGACAGCATAAAAAAGAAGACAGAAAATTCTGATCTTAACAAATAATTAAGGATGACTGTATTAGTTTTAGGATCTGCAGAAGTTAATTTCCTATGTATGTCGTTACAACCATTGAAGCTCATTCCAGAACCATACTCAACAAAAACAACACATTTTAAGCATTGTTTAGGGTCAACTAATTTTGTATATAATATTGTGTAATAATTTTAGGAGTGCAATAATAGGTTATATATAATCAACAATGCAAGATCTTGACTTTCTATGATGCTATAATTCACAACTAAGGAAATCGTAAAGAAAGAACTGATAAGAAACAGCATTATATACAAAATAAGTGCATGGAGATAACACTCGAAGGATAATACAAACATAAGGACCCTGCTAAGTTATTCATAATAGCAAAAGATGATCAGATCAATAAACCCATCATGAATGATGGACAGTTATAAAAAATATAACACTGGAAGCAAGGAGATACAACATAACATTATGACACAGCTGACAAAGAAAAGAAGGCATGCAACATCCCCAAAGAAGAACAGACTTCATATGGAACCAATAGCCTTCATGAACAGAAAAATAATTCGGTAAAATACTAAGAACATGACGTAATCATGAAAGTGATTTGAATGTTTTACAGGCTCTGTAACTTATGAATTAAAGAACATGATGCTGCTGAAGATTACTTTTAGGATACTGAAAAAGACAAAAGGAGCAACAGTACCTGAATGATTGAATCACTAGTTAGTGAGCTCCCACAGAGGCAGCGAACCTTCATTTCCAGACAATAATCATCAATTTCCTCTTTAGGCTTTACCTGATTGAAATCTGTGGTGCTAGTACTCTTGGATGCTAAGTCTGTAGCACCAGAAACTTGCATTTTTCTGCAGACATTATCCACAAAGACATGTAATTTGAACAAGTGAAATTTGTCATTTCTATTCATCTAATTAGCAAGTTGGTCATTCTAAGGTTTGGCACATTTGATAAAATATTTAAAATGGAAAGGCAACATAGATAAGGACCAAAATTATGATCACCTGTAAGTATCATCAATTATCTTAGCCACTTCATCTTTCCAGAAAGGATTTTTCTTTCCCCAGACCTGTGACTTGGGAACTGTAGAAGGGTTAACACTCTTCAAAGATGTCTTGGGAAAAAGAAGAAAAAAAAGACTTGAGAGGAGGTGAGAGCATAAAAAACCAACAAAAATATATGAAAGAATACTGCCTAGTCAATAAAAGAATGATGTATGACCAAAGAACAATAATTTTGGAACTAACATGCTGGACGAGCAAATACATGTACACAAAGTATCTGAGAAATCCATGTTCCTATTTATATCTGGTTCGAGGAATTTCAGCACGAATTGTTATATCAGCTCCTCGTCTTATATCTCATTGTTAAGAACTAAAAGGGAAATGAATGTAAAATTGTAAGCTTATTGAAGTTTAAGACATGCTCAAGCGAGTATACATGAGAAATTGAAGTTTAGAATACTGTTGTAGGAAAACACTTAAATGTTACATATGGCAACAATGAACACGGAATACTTGAACACAATGAAAATTACTGGACATTCATTTCTTGAAAGAAAAAGAAGAGGAACTAAAAGGCCTGAGTACACAACTTCAAGCGACAATAGCTTTAATAACAATCCCTCTTGAAGAATAAATAGCAAATATATGAACAAAGAAAACAACTCTAAGGATGAGAAGACCATTTAAAATTTTAAACAATAACTAGACCATCTAGATGATAATAAGATTATCTCAGAAAGTCAGAAGTATGACAAAGTAGGTAGCACCACATTTATGTTATTTGTTCTGATGAAACTACCATGACTAAAGTGTACATGACTACCTTGTTCATCTGAAAGTAGTTGTAAAATCCTATTCACAAGGTCCTGCATAGCAACAAAAAAAAAATTAAAAATGAACTACAAAATTAACAGTTCATAAGATATCAAAGCACAAAGAAAAGACAGACTATAGGATGCAAGATGAGATGGCTAAATATTAACGAATTGAACCACTGGCACAATACATTTTCATGAAACTTGTCATATTGACTATTGAGTATTCTTACCCAAATAGATATCAGACAGTCCTCCAGGAAAAGTTAAGCAATACAACAGAATAGTAATGCCAATGTCAAAGCAGCAAAAGAATTGCTATAAATAGAATAAGTAATGTGAACACATAACCATTGATGTACCAAACAAAAAATTTAGCTATAATGATTTCTATGTACCTTCAAAGTTATGCATCGCTTTCTGTAATGAAAACTATTACTAGCCAATTAAGACCAATTAAGCACAAAAAAAGAAATATGTTCTCGGCAAAGCAGCAAGTTGCTTGACTTTTAATTATTGTGATGCCCTACTTATCCCAAATGCATCATTCCATGTCCCTACGGCATTGTCATATAACATTTCATATTTTAGCTCTGAGAATAAAGAACTGTTAGAATATTTTATTAGAAGGAAAAGAACAAGTGCTGACCTGCTTCTTTCCTTGCTTTGCAAGACCTAGTTGAGTCAGCACATCCTTAAGCTCTTTTATTCTGAAGTATGCCAACTTATCCTGATGTAAAAGGACAGAGACATCAATGCAGAGGACAAAAAAGGAAAGCCTTCTAGACAATCAAATTGGTCAAACTATTCACAGAGAAAAATAATTAAATGAGGTTCCTGAACTTAAAAAGGCTACTTTACAAAAATTACAAACTGTATGCATGCATACATGTGTATAAAGTTATCCTCCCCAGACCCCACAGTTAGCAAGAATGGCACTGGGTTTGCCCTTTTTATGTATGCATATATGATAAGCTAGTGCAACAAGCAAACAGTTACAAACGACCTTGATGCAATGCATAAAAGCTGTGTTCATGAAGTAATGTCAGAAGCAATTACTCTCTATTACCACTTACAAGCAATGAAACAAATATAATCTGGAGTAAATTGTAGCTAAATGTCAATAGAAAACAAAGTCGTAAACAACCCTAGATAAGTGCTCCAAGACAACAACAGACACAGATAAGAATTAGAACAGGTCTACTACTTTTCGCTATAGTTATAGTACTAATGTAGGCCACAGGTATAGATATAGCATAAAAGGTAGCCAATACCTATACCTAAAAGATTGTATCAATATCAAACACCAAGGTCGAGGATGAAGAAATGATGAATCTCTTTTTTGGCACATCTCGAAAGCATTGTCCATCTATTATACTGATCCAAAAACATGGGGGGGATAGATGGAAATTTCACCACACAGTTATATAATGAACTTAAAAAAAATTATATATATCCTTGCAAAAGTTCAACATCATCCTGTTTGGCACATTTCCGTGTTGCTTTTAAAAGAATTCATATCTATAATCAACAGTTACAATCAACATTAACCCAAGAAGAACATAACTAATGCATGCTTCAGAACAATAATCTAATTAGCTTAGGATGTTCTCATACCATATTAGATTAAGGCATATAGTAATCAGCAAATTAAGTTCAATGCGTGAGTTAACTACTAGGAAGCTAACTAGAGACCAATGCATTATATATTCAGAATATCAGCAATGTAGTAGCAAAGAGTTAGCAGAAAATTCCATTCGAAGGCCCAATTTTTTGCCTACGATTCTCGTTTCCAATCACAAACTCAGCTAAGAAAAAAGACCAATAGATGAAAAAGAAAAATCATCTCAACACAACGTCATAATCAGACGGCACATGCATTCAAGAAAAAGAAATGGTCCCAGCAAGCAATTATAAAGCAAAAGAGGACGACACCAAAGTAACAATACCCTGCAACTGGTAACCAAATCCATCGATCCAAGAGTCGCCACCAAAGGGAGCAATCAGCCCACCAGAGGAGCAGCAAGAAGGCAGATAGGGCCGCGATCGGCCGATCTCCGACGCCAATTCAAAAACAAACCAAAATTCTCTCAATCGAGCGCCACAAGAATATATTCTTCCACCCCACTCCGAAGTCTATCTCACCGAATAGAAAGCGGCGGATACCCAGCTAGGGTTTGCAAGGGACCAAAAGGATTCACGAAGAACGGCGGACCTGTGGATCGACCGATCAAACAGGAGATTATAGATTGCAACCCTAGGGAAGAACCAGGAAAGCGGCCTGCATTTACTTGTCAACGTCGCCGCGATGAACCGCCCCGTTCCAATTCGATGTTGCGGGTTGGGCGGCGGCGTTGCACCGGATCCACAACCCTATGTGCGAGGGCGACGGGTGGGGCCGGTCGCGGCCTATCGAGAACGAGGTGGGGGTTTCTGCGCCGTCGGGAGCAGACCGCTCCTCTTCGAGATTCGCAAAATGGCCGAAAGACGCGATCGCACCGTCCTTTACGTGGGGGGTTCTCCGCCGTCGGATTGAAGCGCTCCGCTTCGAGATTTGCAAACGCGGGAACTCAACGGCCGAAAGGCGCGATCTCACCATTCTTTACATGGGGGGTTCTGCACCGTCGGAATGGATCACTCCGCTTTGAGATTCGGAAACGCGGCAACTCGACGGCCGGCTTCGGACCCGTACACACGATTGCGATTGGGTTTGTTCCCGGGCACACGAGTCCGCACACGTCGCCACGCTGTCATGTCTCACCGACTTCGTCACGCCGCAGCGTTCTTTGACCGCTATATTGGATTGGTGGGTGGGCGAACGGCTGAGACCGGAATCAGCAACAATGGGTAGGACAGGCGGTTACTTCCGTCCGATGATGCTTGTGCGGTCGAGATCGCTGGAGCTCAAGTAGTGGGGCTGCGGTTCGTTGGCCCCCGCCTCGACTCTTGAAACGTAGGGAACCGCGTCCACGACACGTAGTCGATGCAGGAGGAGCCACGTACGCAACCAGTGTCTGCGGGGCCCAAAGTAGAGTGCTTGATTTGCCGAATCTCATCATCAAACAGCCCAGTCAAATAAACGGACAAAATAATAATTATTTTTAAAAATATATTATCACCGTCTCCTATTCCATGTGTCGCCTCTATCATCGTTCTGGTAAATTCGTTGAACCCTAAGGGCATGCATACACAAGAAAAAGGTCAATAGGATTAATCGGAGAGCTAACGATAACATTCACTATGCATATGAAGAAGGTGAAGTAAGACAACTAGCGAGCCTTGCATATTCATATGCGAAAAAAACGATTAATTGGATCAACTCATGTATAGAAGCACAAGCAAATAAGGGAGGATCGTCGATGACGATGGTCGATAAGAGTATAATGATTAATTTAAAAATATATATGTTATCTAAAAAAATTTTAAAATTAAAATGACACGTAAAAACTCTTCAACTTACGGGTTTGTTATTATTTATCACTCTAAACTTAAGTTTACTAAACGAGATGTAAACTTAAAAGGGGCTTTTTAGCTATTTCGAACATTAAAAGACATCAAATTTGGTTCATTAAGTATTTTGGTAGTACAGCATATATAAGAGATCTGAAAAGTGGATGGCTGGCTATATCGCATGGATGTAACAGACGAACTGTATTTCAAAAGTTCACAATCTTTTTTTTTTTTCTTCTAATTTTTAATAATTTTAAATATATATATATATATATTAAAAATAAGTAAATAAAAAAATATAATTTTACAAAAAAATTCATATAGTCCAAATATATAATAAATAATATATGATCATATGAATAAATATATATAATTTTAAAAATAAAAAATAAAAATTCAGACTTGTGAGAAAATGGATGACACAAAAATTAAGAGAATGATGAGAAAATGATGATTAAAATTTCTATTATATAACGATGATTTTATGATTTTAGATAATATCGTATAATATTTTGAAATTTTCAAACATTATATGTAGATGCTGAAATGTTTTTGCTATTCTAATATGGTATCAATATTTGAGCAATTTCAATATAGCATCTAAATTAAATATATTTTTTTAAAAAAATTATCAAACATCAATTCACATAACAAAATATGCATTGGACCTTCAATGCAAAGACAGGGATGGGAAATCCCCATTGGGAATAATGAACCTGAGGTCCCCAATATTATACTAATTAATCTATCAAATTTAAAAAAATAAATTAATCATACTAAAATTTATTAATAATAACAATAATATTTGTAAAACTTATATATCATAATAATATTTAAATATAAATATATCCAAATATAATCATACATGAAATAAATATACAAATTTTTTTAAAAAAAATATTTATAAATTTATCCATTAAAAATATATCCAAATAAAATTAATAAATTAATTTTTTATTAATCCTATTAGTGCAATTTATATGCTCACATATTCATGCAATATGAATTCTACATAAATAATAAAATATATTAAGTGTCAAAAAAAATATTATTAAAATTAATATATATATCAATTCCGAATATGCTATTAATTATTAATTTATTAGACAAACAATAATAATTTAAAAAATAATATTAAACAAATAAAAATTAAAGTATTCTCACTCAAATTAAAGTTCATACTACCAAATTCATTAGATAACTAGTTTTGAGACCATATTAAAGTTTCTAGTGGCCTTCCAAAAAATTTAGAGTAATGTGGACTCACAAGCCTACCATCATTGCTAGAGGCAAAATCAAATACAACAATACATATCAAAATTACTAAAATATTCCTAAGTTTATCTTGTAATATATAATACTTAGTCTCATTGATCTTCCAAACATATCAAAATCAGGAATCCTTGGTAGGAGAGATTGTTCCAAACACTTGTCTAGTTTTAATTTAACATTGTCACTACTACTACTACTACTACTGACGAATAAATCAAAGCTTAAGATCAATGTCTTATTCAAAAGAAATCAATTCTAATTTAAAAATATCAATTGAGCTTTTAAAATCATTTGTGTTGATACTCCCTTACAAAATCACAACAAATCATTTGAATTCTACTAATTTCATATCATTAACAGTACAATATTCATATTGTACTATTAATGTTATAATCAAACAAATACTCCAACAATGAGAAAGAAACAGGAATTAAGTGTAAATATAAAAAATTATAATCCTATTATGAAACTTAAAAGTATAATTTTTAATTGAATCATATAAAAAATAATACCTCAAAATTGAACTTCCTAGTGTCAAAAAGTCATTATAGTAAACGTAAGATCATATTGACTATAAAAATCTATAAAATTGATTTATCCTAAATCTATAAATTTATCCTAAATATAAGCTCATATAGATTTAGTCTAAATCTATAAAATTTATTATCCTAAAATAAAAATAAAAATATATAAAATTGAGAAGACTAAAAACACATCGTGGTTTTAGTCTATCAAAGAAATTACTAGGGATCAAATCTCACCTTCATAAAGAGTTTATGCATTTAACTTAAATCAGGCTCACGTTGCTTCGGGATCAAACCAGGTTGACACGATGGCTCGGGCCACGACGTGGTACAATAGGAAATAGAGCGGGTTCCGAACGCGCCTTGAGTCACGACACAGTTAACGGAAGGGAGATGCGCCAGAAATCACAGGGGAGACGTTCCACGAGTTAGTATACAAACCTAACTCGCCGGATCGGGTTTTGAAGCCTCCGATTCATCGTGCAGCTTTGTCGTCCTCGACCCTCGTCTTCCTTTCAAAACCCTAACCAAAAAACTCCCGCTATCCTCCTCAGCTCTGGGATGGCGGTGACGCCGGCGACAGGGGCGGCGGAGATCTCGCCGGACCTGTACCCGAGCGAGGAGGATTTACCCTACGAGGAGGAGATCCTCCGCAACCCCTTCAGCCTGAAGCTTTGGTGGCGCTACCTTATCGCCCGATCCTCCGCACCATTCCGGCGACGCGCCGTGATCTATGAGCGCGCCCTCAAGGCCCTGCCGGGCAGCTACAAGCTGTGGCACGCCTACCTCCGCGAGCGCATCGACGCCGTCCGTGGCCGTCCCGTCTCCGACCCGGCCTTCGACTCCCTCAACAACACCTTCGAGCGCGCCCTTGTCACCATGCACAAGATGCCCCGCATCTGGCTCATGTACCTCGCTTCCCTTTCCGAACAGCGTCTCCTAACCCGCGGCCGCCGCACATTCGATCGCACCCTACGCGCTCTTCCTGTCACCCAGCACGACCGCATCTGGGAGCCCTACCTCGCCCTCGTCTCTCTCCCCGGCGTCCCCGTCGAGACCTCTCTCCGCGTCTTCCGCCGCTACCTCCTTTTCGACCCGTCCCACATCGAGGACTTCATCAACTTCCTCATTGCCTCCCGGCGCTGGCAGGAGGCCGCCGAGCGGCTTGCAGGTGTGCTCAACGATGACAGCTTCCACTCCATCAAGGGCAAGACCCGACATCAGCTGTGGCTCGAGCTCTGCGACATTCTCACCCGCCACGCCACTGAGGTATCGGGCCTCAAGGTCGACGCCATCATACGTGGTGGCATCCGGCGGTACACCGATGAGGTCGGGCGCCTGTGGACGTCCCTTGCGGATTACTATGTCCGCAGGGGTTTGTACGAGAAGGCGAGGGACATCTTTGAGGAGGGCATTCAGACTGTGACTACGGTTAGGGACTTCAGTGTCATCTTTGAGAGTTATGCGCAGTTTGAGCAGAGCGCCCTTGCTGCAAAGATCGAGACAGCCGAGGAGGAACAGGAGGAGGATGGGGAAGGAGAGGAGGATGGCAGGAGAGATGGTTTGTCAAAGCTTACTAAGAAATTCCTAGATGGCTTCTGGTTGAATGATGACGACGACACCGATCTCAGGATGGCAAGGTTTGAGAACCTTCTCTCCCGAAGGCCAGAGCTCCTTAACAGTGTGCTCCTACGGCAGAATCCTCACAATGTGGAGCAGTGGCACAGGTGTGTCATAGCTACAACACAGTTCTCTTATAAACTTTCTTTCTGTACTAGGTATTGCGAATGCATATGTATATAACTCATTCTTTTTCAAATTTCTGATCTCATGATGATGCAGGCGAGTGAAAATTTTTGAGAATGACCCCGCAAAGCAGGTTTTCACCTATATAGAGGCAGTGAGAACAGTCGATCCCATGAAAGCAGTGGGTAAGCCCCACACACTTTGGATTGCCTTTGCACGGCTGTATGAGAGCCACAATGATCTTCAGAATTCCAGAGATATTTTTGAGAAGGCTGTGAATGTGAACTACAAGACTGTTGACCATCTAGCAACTGTTTGGTGTGAATATGCTGAAATGGAGTTGAGGCACAAGAACTTTGGAAGGGCACTTGAGCTGATGAGAAAGGCCACTGCAGAACCCTCAGTTGAAGTCAAGCGTAGAGGTATGAATTTGTTTAGAATTTTTATCTTTTAATCTCAAAAGAGAGGAATTATCTTGCTTGATCTTAACATGTCATTTTGTGCAGTTGCTGCTGATGGTAACGAGCCTGTACAAATGAGGCTGCACAAATCTTTGAGGCTTTGGAGCTTTTATGTTGATCTTGAGGAGAGCCTGGGGTCACTGGAATCAACTCGAGCTGTTTATGAGAGAATTCTTGATTTGAGAATAGCAACCCCCCAAATTATTCTAAATTATGCTTTCCTTCTCGAGGTAGGAATCTCAAAACACCTTCCTTTCGACCTTTGGTGGATGTATCTTAAATATTTTCATTTTGATTTTTATAGGAGAACAAATACTTTGAAGACGCATTTAAGGTTTATGAGAGAGGTGTGAAAATATTTAAGTATCCTCATGTTAAAGATATATGGGTTACTTACCTATCCAAGTTTGTCAAAAGATATGGAAAGACCAAGTTGGAACGTGCAAGAGAGCTTTTTGAGCATGCAGTTGAGCAGGTATTTGATATTTAATGCAGTTTTTTTGTTTTTTTTTTTCCAGAGTTTCTCTGGACGAATGTTTGGAATTATTTTCCCCTGCCTGGGTGTCAACTGAGTGTGGTTAATTAACTTGCATTGCTAATCTTGTGTTATTCATTGCTTAAAAAGGGAAAAAAAGGAAAGAACTTGCAATGATTATCAATTCTTCAAATTTTTTATTCCTTATGAATATGATGTTGGACTCTGTCTTTTGGATAATTTATTGAACTCACTGTTTGTTCATTTATGTAATGTTTGTTTTTTCTCATGGAAAACAAACTCAAAAGTTCATAGCAAAACTCTTAAAATGGTATCTCCAACCAGTGACGACTCTGTCTTTTAGATAATTTATTGAACTCACTGTTTGTTCATTTATGTAATGCTTGTTTTTTTCTCATGGAAAACAAACCCAAAAGTTCATAGCAGAACTCTTAAAATGGTATCTCCAACCAGCGACGGATTAGCTAGTTTAGTGTTGGTTGCACAGAATAGAAAGTTTATTTTTGGAATAAATTTAAGGTATTATGCTAGTCAGAACTTTTACTGTTATCATACCATCGTTATGTACTCCAGCTTATACCTTTAAACTGTATTTGCTGACATTTGCACTCAAATCATTATCTTGAACTACATTTTCAATCTTTGTTTATTACTGTCTGTTATCTCTTTTGATTGTTACCATCTGGCCTCCATTTTTTTGTTGTTTTGTTCTCATGAAAAAGGAGGTACGGATTGAGGATCTAAATAATGTAGTTCTCTCTGGCTTCATCCTTGACAAATGACAGCAAACATAACCTTCTTCGGTTTCTATGTGTTGATTTGCTGAAGTACGATACTGTAGTTCTTTCTGGCTTCATCCTTGACAAATGACAGCAAACATAACCTTCTTCGGTTTCTATGTGTTGATTTGCTGAAGTATGATACTGTACTCCATCCAAGGGATCTCTTATACACATTTTCTTTCATTTTGTGGATGGGGATTATGTAATGGGAAGAATATGATAACATTACTAATTTCTTATTGATGATGTTCTATGAAATCGGTTCTACTTGAATGAGTGTAAATCTGTATGCTATTCATATGTTTGGCCAGGCTGAAACTCGTTACGATATAGTGGAAATTACATAATTATGCGTTGTATAGTATGGGTACCATCAAAACATAGGCTTACTCATGAGTTTCTCTTTCACTTGTCATCAGGCACCTGCAAATGAGGTGAAGCCAATATATCTGCAGTATGCTAAACTGGAGGAAGAATATGGTCTTGCGAAGCGTGCAATGAAGGTCTATGATCAAGCAGTGAAGGCTGTCCCTGACAATGAAAAATTGAGCATGTATGAGATTTACATAGCTCGAGCAGCTGCAATTTTTGGTGTTCCCAAAACTAGAGAGATATACGAGGTTAGTCTTGTTCCTTTCTGCAGAAGCTCATGCAATTCATGAACATTAAGTTAGATTTACCAAAATATTAGCTCAGATGTTTTTAGTTGTTTTCTCTCTCACCTTGTCTCTTCCAGGAGCATAAGTAATCCATGCGTGCAACTTGAGTCAGCTACATGTAAGCTTTTAGAGGTTGATAAAATGTAATGATAATCAACTTTTTCATTCAGACTATCTAACCAATGATGGTCCATGATAGCGCTAAATTGAGTTAGTTGAGATTTATATAGCTGTGTTAGCTGAAATTTTTGGTGTTCAGAAAATGTGTGTGTGTGGGTGCGTGTCGTGCACTTACACAACTGATGAATAACTTCTCTGATTAATTTAGATTTTACTTACGCATAATCTTTCAAATATTAATATCTGCTTATAATGTTTCATGATAACATGCTTCTTTGTGGGACATTACGGCTTCTTGTTGTTGTATGCTTCTTTGTAATTTCATCATGTTTTTAATATCTTGGTCAAAATGCACCATTTTCATTTGTGTTATGGACTTATCCTTCAACTGTAACTAGTTGTCTTTATTTGTCTAACTTAAAAACTGTTGCTGCTTTTTCAGCAAGCAATTGAATCAGGTCTGCCTGATAATGATGCAAAGAAAATGTGCTTGAAATATGCCGAACTTGAAAGAAATCTAGGAGAAATAGATCGTGCTCGTGCGATCTATGTATTTGCATCACAATTTGCAGATCCACGGTCTGATCCTGATTTCTGGAAAGTATGGAAAGATTTTGAGATTCAACATGGTAATGAAGATACCTTCAGGGAAATGCTTCGCATCGGCCGCAGTGTTTCTGCCAGTTATAGTCAGGTAACTATTATTTACTCTCACTTTTTGGGACTGGAGTGTAGTATCCCATCTTACACTGATTTTTGCCGCCATGCAGACACATTTCATTCTTCCTGAATACTTAATGCAAAAGGATCAGAAGCTAAATTTGGAAGAAGCAGTGGATACTCTAAAGCGTGCAGGCGTCCCTGAAGATGAAATGGCCACTCTAGAAAGGCAATTGGCTCCTGCAGCTGCCAATTCTCCTGTTAAGAATGGTGGCAGAATGGTAAACTTTGTCAGTGCTGGATCTGAGTCACAATCTGATGGTGGTATACGACTGACTGCAAACAATGAGGATATCGAGTTGCCAGAAGAGAGTGATTCGGAGGATGATAAAATTGAAATTGCCCAAAAGAATGTCCCTGCTTCTGTATTTGGGGACCTCGCAGAAAAAGTTGCCAAGGATGAGGACAAGGGAGCTGATGCTGCAGATAATGGTGGCAGTAGTCTTCTAGGAGCACTTGAGAGAATAAAGAGGCAAAGGCGGCAATGATGTTACATCAGTAGGATTTTGCGAATCATGGAATTGAACTCCTGGAATGCTTGACACGTAAGTCACTGTAATGATTGTCATTAGCTGAACTTTAAGTTGCTCTTACAAAACTTCTTGATGCACCTTGAACTCTCAAGATAAGTCTCTGTAGCATTTCTTGTTGCTGATGGAGATAATGGCCCCTTAAGTTCAACAATAGGGGGTCTTCAAACCGGTTCCAACTGAATCGTAAAGGGCCAAATTGAACTGAACTGGAAAATCAATTCAGTTCGGTTAAGGTAAGGTAGTCTGAACCGGAACCAGTTCGAACCTACCTAACCGGATTGTTTCAAAATCGATTAATCCAGTTCAGTTAATCAGTTTTTAATTTCAATCAATTTTAAAAATAGATACTTTTCAAATGAACCAGTTCGGTTTGATGAATTGGTTCAGTTCAATTGAACTGAATTAGAATCTTGGTCCAATCAAATATAGAATCATCATGTCGCATTAACAAGGATTATGGTGAGGAAAAGAGGACAACATAGACAAGAATGCACATTTATGCTATGCCTTCAGGGTCTTTGAGCTGGATTGAATCGATTAAGGGATTAATGCAATGAACTTGGTCGGACCGATTTTAGCTGTAGTCCGAACTGGTTAACTGAATTGAAGAAATGTACCCTCTCAAATCGGAACTGTTTACAATCTGCAAACCGAACTATTGATGAACTGGTTTGGACCAAACCGGTTCAGTTCGAGTTTGATTCGGATTTGGTTTGGTTTGAACACCGCTATTCAACGACGTCTCCGATGGTTCTTTCTTGCATGAAATTAACTTGATTTCTGCATGAGAACTGAAGATAAATGGTCTCTTGTATGTTTCCTCTGTTCATTATCATACACTTTAGCCTGCTATGGCTCACTGTAAACTGTTTGGCTTCTCGTTTTTATGCATAATTAACTTTGTTAATGTGCATATGTAATACTTGATGTGTTACTTACTTGATTTGTCCCTCAGTTGAATATCAAACTGAATGATGATCAGAATAATCAAATCTGTTCCTGTAGAACCTATTCTGCCTGGTGCTCGACATATATGTCGAAGTGTGCTTTTGCAGCTGTTTCCCTGCACTATAAATCCAGAAATCTAGTGTATATTTGAGGTATGTTTATTCTCCTGGGTGACTCGGGATAATGTTGAGGTAATCAAATTTTGAAATATAGGATGCTGATTGTAAGATGTGCTTCAAAAATGTGTTTATAATGCGGTTTGAAACATAATGGTCAGTCAGTTGATAGTGTTACCTTAGGTTGTCTAATAAGTAGGTGAGTTTGGATAAGTTACCAAATATGTTTTTTAGAATTTAGAGAGCTTAAAGAGGGGATGAGCTACTAGAAAGATGGTTTATGTTGGGTTAGCTTGTATTAAGCCTAGTCATACCACTTTCTGGCTTAAATTAAACCGTTTAAAGATATATATATATATATATATATATATATATATATATATATATATATATATATATATTTCTGGATTTTCTTATGTATCATGTTTTATTCAAGGTATATATGTCGCTGGGGGACATCTTGATTGTAGCAAGATTTTGGTATCTATATGGTAAGATTTGGAATTCATTTGTAGAATTTCTGGTTGTTAGGTATTCTGAAATCTTCTCTAACTACTTTATTTTGGAACAATTTTGTTTTTGGCTGACCTCGACTCCGGACTCGAGGTCGATACCGATCCTTCAAAGCTTGGTACAAGTCACTTTGTAAACTTAATGTGTTCATGTTGCAGACCTAATTTCTGTTTTTTTTAATGCAATAGTTTATTGTATGTTGGGAAACCATTAATTTAGGTTCTTCCATTGCACATTTAATCTTTGTTGGACCTTGAAATCCCTTAGTAAGAGGTGATATTTTCTGTTCGACCCACCTCTGTTATCATTTGCTCATTTAGACAGTTCTGGTTTCCAGCATTGTCTCCAAAGCTCTTCAGTGAATTCTTGAAACGTTTCTTGCATATTTATTGCTGATGTGCTTTTGTTCTTCTGTCTGCTGGCTGCAGGTGCTCTAATGTAGTGTCGGGAGGCTTACATGCAATCGGCTATATCTGCGACCATTTCTTCATAGGAGGCCTCGTTGGGAACATCCATCCCCAAAGATCATATCGGAACATATTTACTACTACATTGAAGGGCACATGCTGATAATGTAATCAGCAAGATAGCGATGTACTCTTGAGTGTTCTGTTGTAGATTGTATCATTGGTGTTTTATCTCATCTTCCTGTTCCCGTGAGTCTCTTCAAATAAGACCCTGGAAAAGTGCTATTAGATTCTCGAAAACAACCCCGGCTTGTGTTGCTTCTGTTGACGATTGATGTTTCTGCTGGTTGTAGTCCAACGTTAGTGTTACATATGTTTCTGCTGGCTTATCAGTTACAAGATATGAAGCGGATAACATTTCTATTCAAGCAGGTGGTGACAATCTTGTCGATGGATAATATTTACGATTGGGTATATGAGATTTGAAGCTCACTTGTGGCATTGGGTAAAATAATAGGTTAGGGGGTAATCTTCTATCATTATACAATGATTTCGGTGGCTTTGGTTATAAGCGTGCCTTTCACTTCTTGAATTACAATCCTTCTAAAGTCTCCTTTTGTGATGTAAAAGTATACACGCAGAAGACTTTATCATTTAAGAAGCATTTCGTGAGATTGCAAACTGCCAACACATTCTTAAATCCACCACTGTCGGAAACATAAATTCCTCCGGCGGTGGTGTGGTGATAGGACTGATGGCCGTATATTCCTTGGAGTCGTAAGAAGACGCTATTCCTACCACCCACAACTATAATTCCCTTCCCCCAACTAAAAAAAAAAAGGGAATCCAAGGGAAAAAAAGGGAAACAAATGAGAAGGATGTTCTACTCCAGTTCGGTACAATCATGTGAAGCTATGTCTTCCATATGTTGTTCGCTTGGTGATCGATCAACCTCCAATTCGATCGAGAGAGGGCCTCGAGGATTTCCGAAGAGGGCGGAGAATATTTGCCTGTGGCAATCATCGCAAAAGCAGAAATAGGAGAAGTGTCCTTCGCCAAGCAACCTGTGCACTGTTGCTCCCGGGATCATCCGTCGAATGAATTCGGTCATGGATGGTGGCACCACATGGTCGTCCATCCCCTGTTCGACACAGATATATAGCATGACCACCATTTTGCGTATGTGAATCGATGAATGAACACTAAAATTGATACCGAGATCGGACTGAATGCAAAGCGAGTAAATTGTCAAAGAAATGATTTATATTTCATCAAACAACTAGCAATCTCCTAGCAATCAAAGCTTTAAAAATGGCAGCATACTGACAGCATGTTGAGCAAAGAGTAAAGTGTGCAGAATATAAGTAGAATAGTGAACTAACAAAATGTAACATTCACAAGCTAATGATCGGTGTCTGCGTCTAATTCGTAAATGTAACAAAAAAAAAAAAGCCGGGAATGCACAGACCTGCCATACGTGTATGGGGCCAAGAAAGCCTGCCTGCTCGTGTTCAACTCGTCCGTAAAGTGACTTGAGCCACGGGAGAAGGCCTTTACCCTGATGCTGATTCTGCACTTGAAGATCAGCCAAACAGAAGCCCCAGTTTGAAACTTGTAGCAGAGCTTCCTCCACAAATGGTTTTGCATCTCCTTGACGGACAGATTCACCAGCATCCTTTTCCCAGAATTCCCTAAAAACTGGCTCTTCCAATAATGATTTGTCCTAGATGCATAATACCACCATTAGAAATTTCATTACCTTCCAGGAAAAGAAGCCTACGAATCCAGAAAGAACTTTCAGAACTATTAAAAGCAAGCAGTGGCTGTGAACAGATGATGCCGTATCAAGTGATGAGCAATTTATGACACGATATAACATATCTCTGGTATTCAATTCCAACACACCTGCATTACACCTTATAAGTATGAAAAATCATAAAAGAATGCCCGACACTACAACCAGTTGTCTGTTTCCTGAATTTTCAAGAAAAAATAAATCAGCATCTCGCTCCCTGCAGTCAGCCTAATTCTTCCTTTTTTTACCATCATTCCTTGTGCAGCTTTTCAAACGCCTTGATACAGTAAAAATGCTCTCAGTGATTTTGGGTGTAGAATATCTTGGGTGTAGCTTCATCGGTATTTGAATCAGTGGTACATGTTAAATTGTCCAGACCAACTTGAATTAGTTGGGATTGTTTGTATATGTTAGGCTTCTGCACAGATATGCTATTAACTAATCCATATAATATAGACTTTGTGGAATTACTCATTTCCTGTGATGTGGTGATACACAAAACTTCATTTCACACTAACCATGACTTTTCACTTTCTACAAACATAGAATTAAAGTTTGGGGAACAAAATCATGACAAACAATTACTGGCCGAGGTTTCTAAGATTCGAGGCACAACCAGAAAAATCTGTGGAACTGGTCATATTGTCATGGCATTTGACGTCATAAAATCAGACCTTTCAAGTTAAAGTTTAGCTAATAAATAAAAACCTCTTTATGTATGACACATGATAATATGTGATGCATCGGAACTTTAAGCGACATAAATTCTACTAAATCTCAGAAAGATGATTTACTGGTGGCAAAAACTTTAAGCAAGGGTGTAAAGAAAACTAGGCATACCTTCTTCCCCAAGGACAATGACAACCACTTCTCAGGCTGACCGCATTCTCCGGACAGAAAGCTTCTACGGTAAAAGTATGGAAGAAGAGAGGGAAATCTACGAGCCAAAACATACATCAATCTCCTTTTCATAGTCCACTCATCCCAGGTTTTATGAATCTCTTCTTTGTTCAGGCTGGAGTCATACGGATTGGACATTGGAGCAAACATGGCTGCACCTGAAAGCCCAATTGGGGGACAGATAAGGCGTAAAATAGAACCATCGAGATGAAGTAGATATTATATTATTTTTGGATAAGGAGGTTACCTCTCTCTTTGATATTTTCTATCAAACCAAAGGAAAATCTTACATTTATAAACCAAAGAAAATGTCCGCTGTAGCTTATAACAAAAAGTTAGTTCTCTAATAACAAAATTACAGATATTTCCAACACATCCAAATTCAATGATTAAACATGAGATTCTGGATTGATGTGACGATACAATTAATAAAGCTTCTGGATACAATTACCATGACCATGCGGACCCTTATAACTTGTCTTAGATTTCTTGATCCAAATTCTTGTTTGGTTCTTCTACTAACGACGGAATCACTCTTAAGAATTATGCCTTGCCTTTTGCAGTGTTTAATTAACTAATCTGTCTACTAAATCTAGACAAGAAATATACTAACACAATCCCATATTTCTTCAATGCCACCAAAAACTTCCAGAACATGAAATAAGCTAATGACTGGGGCTAACCACCAAAAGATGTGTTAAGAAAACAGTTCATCTAGGTGCTTTCTGCCGGTTCATATTCTGATAGACATAGTATTGTGAAAGGAAAAGGACAGACATTTATTCATTCAACAGAAATCCCATAATGAACCATCAGAGAAGGATTTCTAATCCAAGAAATCCATACTTTATTTTACACATTGTGACAGATAATTGTGCTTTGCACAAGTAAATGTACAATGTATATATTAATAACATTGTTTGTGGATCACTAAAACAAGTAAATTTTTTAGTTATTTCATATGAAATGAATCCTGGTACAAACACATAAGTCAAAAAGAGAAAAACTCAATAACACTCTTTTTGGGAGTCAATCATAACTCATCATGTCTAATCTTACCTCTCCTTGTTTCACAAAAGCATACATAGATGTATTTTGATTTGTTCTGTTCTCTGTCTTGCTTCTCCTGGGCTTCATTTAGCACACATCATATCCTAATATCATGCACCCAAAAGTCATATTTGATTAATGTTCTCAAATTCTGTATATCTGCCTACACTATTAGTTGATCTTTTAGATCCCATTACATAGTTTCCTGTTAAGTTCAGTGGTCTCAATAAGACAGTTCATTTCGTCTTCAATCATTCAGACATGCAACAAAGACTGAGCGGCCTTGTTATTACTGCTATTGTCCCAATCCAAGAATCACAATTATTTCAAGATTTTCTTATACCAAATGTTGGGAAAGAAATGGTCCTACCATTGTAATCGGACATGTTCTCACAATTTGCGGAAAAGATAAACAGAAGCTAAGAACCATGCTTCTTCCAACACTTGCTGCTATTAAAAGTCCCACCATTATAACTAGATCTCACCTAAGATGTTTTTCTGAGGCAAAAATCTTACAAAAGATTTTACGAAAAGTGGATATATGACAGAACAATTGTTCCTAATCGAATAAGTTCTGTGAAATTCCCAAATATTCCCAAGATCTTGAGCTTTACACATGTTAGGAAAAGAGTCGACACTAAGAGGGAGGGGTGAATTAGTGCAGCGGAAAACTTTCGTCGGTTCAAAAAACCTTCGTACGATAAAAACTGATTTCGACGAAAACCATTTCGGAGAGAGGTTAACTTAAAAGCGTTTTAGTAAAGATAGTTTGAAAGCGTACGGAAGATGCGTAGTGGATGTAAAGCAAGTTAAGAGGTTTGCAGTAAAGTAAATTGCTCAAATATAGAAATGCAAACCAGAGAAGAACACGCCGATTTTATAGTGGTTCGGTCGTCGTGACCTACATCCACTCCACCGATTCCTCTTCCGTCGAGGCCACCAACATCCACTATCGATCTTCCTTTATAGGCAAAGATCAACCTCCTTACAGCTCTTTCTCCTTACAACACTTAGAACTTTGAGAGGAGTTTCACACAAGATTACAACAGAGTTTCTTTCCTTTTTACTCTCAATACTTGTGTATATTAACCATGGATGAGAGGGGTATTTATAGGCCTCAAGTTGATTCAAACTTGGAGCCTAAAAACATCTCATCTCGGGTTTCCTGGGTTCGGGCCGTACCACCGCCAGTGTTAGTCTGACACTGACACTGCGCTGGCGGTACCACCGCCCAGACTAGCGGTACCACCGCTTGGGAGGCTGTGCTGGGCGATACCACCGCCTGACACAGTCTCGGAGACTGTGCCACGACGGTGCCACCTCTTGGGTCACTGTTTGGGCCTTTCATTGGGCCCAATACAGTCCTTACATGGGCCCAACTGGCCCCTAATTGGGTTGGCCCAAATCCATTCCCAATTACGTGCTAACTACGAAATCTAAGGCATACTTAAACTAAACAAGTCCCTAGGTCTTGGTTTCTTCCGGCAAACTTCCGACGATCTCCCGACAATGTTCCAACGGACTTCCGACAAGCTCCTAAACTTCACGACGATCTTCTTGGCGAGTTCCGACGAGCTTCTTCCGGTAAGCTCCTGGACTTCTCGGCTGGTTCCTGCAGAACTTCTGACGAACGTTTGGACTTCCGACGAACTCTCGAACTCCCAACGAAATCGTGTCCTTAACTCCGGGACTTCATTTTGCCTCATGCCTTGCTATCGTAGTTAATCCTGCACATGTAAAACACACTTCGATCTAGACAATTAATACTAAGCATGAATCATGTTGTCCGACATGTCATTGGTCCCTCGACGCTTCGTCCGATTCTTCGGTGCATCATCCTCTCTTGCGGCCTATTGCCCAATCGGCCAGTTGACTCCGCAACTCCGATATCCTTGGCGCAATATCCGCTCTTCTTGGCCCGATGCCCGAATCCATGGCCTGAAGCCTTATGTCGATACGTCAACCTCCGGCTCGACGTTCAATCTTCTGACATGTTCCTCCGGCCCAACATGATTCTTCCTGCTTTAATTGTCTCATACTGATCGAAGCATCCCGCGTCACTAAAAATGCATATCAAATCATAAACACTTATCAATTGGTTTCATCATCAAAATCCGAGATTCAACAACACAAACATTTTCTCATCAGCCAACATAAATAATTTGTGGTCACATATCATCATTGATCATCCAACCCTTTCCTCATCAATGAGGTAGGCAAAAGAGCATGACCCAAGATCAAGAACTCTCCATGGGCACACCTGGCAATCTACTAGGCATCCACCTAAGTTGGTGCTAAGTCGATACTAGGTAAGAAAGTAACTTACCTAAAACAGGGTTGTTGGTTGCTGAAATTCAGAGAGAAATCATCTAAAATTCTTATAGAATATAGACTGAGGAGTCTTGAAGAAGAGGGAACAACAAGCTGTAGTTTAGGGATAAGGATCGTTGTTCATTTTAGACACAAAAGGAACCGATAGCTTAACTAAAAGCCTGTATTATTTGCTATAGTTGCAGAAAACTAGTGCTCTGCACTAAAAGGATAAACCATGGTAAACCACATGGAGGCTTGTACATCTTATGTTAGCATATCATAAACAAGGTCAGAAACTTCAGATATTCCTTTGAAAAATAATCACAAAAGTCACATTTTATGAAAGTAACTGACTGCTCCTACGAACTTCCGTGTCTACAGATGTGATAGGGTAATGTAATAACTGTGCAACTACTATACAAACAAAACACACCTGCTAGTCTGTCAGGAATATAATGAACAGCTGCCCATGCATGCATGGCACCACCTGAATAACCCACTACCCAAAACTTGTCCGTAACACCAAGAGCATTCGCTAAATGGAGCATATCCATAGCTGATGAGTTGAGATTCCGAACGGGATGAGGATCACTTTCACCAAAACCTGGAAGATCATAAGTGATCAACCGAACACCAAATTCCTCTAAAAGAGATTCTTTAATGCCAGGTATTCCTATATAAGAAAGTATAGAATGACAAGTCAGTCTAGAAAATTGAAAAGCAAGGCATGCATAAGAGCTAATTACATTATATGAATAACATGATAAAGGAGGAAGAAATTGTACCTGCCAAACGAGAAGAAAGAAACGCATGTGGAGCAATCATGAAAAATCTAGCTCTTTCAGCCAAAACTCCTTTCTCTTGATATGCCATATATCGACCATCTAGAAGTTGGATACGACTAGCACTTGGGGGACTTACATACAGTTTCTTTGGCGCTTCAACAGAAGTCTCGTTTCCATTGTTTACCCTTAGTACTGCACAGGATTTCTAACCACAGTCGGAAGAAAAAACAAAAAGCAAGATAACATGATGTCTAAAGCCAAAAAGCTATAAAACTACAGGATATTAAATGGATTGAATGGAATCCACATGCATATCCTTTTTTCTCTCATGATGCAAAACTAGACAGATAAAATGCATCATTAAAGATGTTATCAGCAGCAGCAATGGAGTGAGAGTTATACTAATTAGCATTAGTCTAAGAAATGAAGGCAATTGCAAAGTTTTTCTTGCATTTGAAACAGAAAAGAACCAGATTATACTTGAAAAAAGGAATTAAAATACATTTGGACGAGCATGAGATCCCTAGAGTTTGTACCCACATTCTTTTCCACATATGATTGCCACATTGCAATCTTCATCAAAAGTCGTCCAATGTCAAATACCACAGGAAAAGGGGTGGAATCATCCTCGTGGAATCATCCAATGTTTATGATCAAATACACTTCTAAACTACCACTATCTACAATTATCTTTGCGCAGAAGTGGAATCACCCAATGTTTATGATCAAATACACTTCTAAACTACCACTATCTACAATTATCTTTGTGCAGAAGTGGAATCACCCAATGTTTATGATCATTTACACTTCTAAACTACCACTATCTACAATGATTTTTGCGCAGAGGTTGTTATTGGACGAAGATTTTTTTCTTCTAACACAAGTAATTGTTAGTAGAATGCATGAAGTTTCCTGATCTGAATCTCGAAACCTTTTAGATCCTTGTAAAAGCTAAACCAAGTCTCATCAGAAAGCAAACATGATGATGTGCTAAGTGTTTACCAAGAAGCGCGAGGAGAAAGACAGTGATGACGATGGGCCAAGCGTGCACCGGATCCCGATCCTCGGGCAGGTACTCGTTCATGAACTCGAGTCGCCGCAACACCGCATCCCAATGCCCCCTGACCTTCTTGCCGACGTAGGTCTCCCCCACTCTCTCCAGACTCTGCTGCGCTACATCCCAAAACCCGCGGCCGAGCTCCCGTAGCATCTCCCCCGTGGCCACCACGAACCCCGTCACCTGCTCCTTCAAGCTCTCCTCCGGTCCCGCCCCGTCCTCGTACACGCGGAAATACCCCTTGCCGAGAACCCTCCCGCCCGTGTCCCCCGCGTCCCGCTCCTCCTCCTCGGCCACCGCGGCGTCGGCGGAGTACGTGATCCCGGTGTCCCCGACCAGGCTGGCCAGCTCCTCCTGCCACGTCATCCCCTCCGCCACCACCCCAAACGTTCCTTACTCGTGGGGATTAGACAGAGAGTGGAAGTTTAGCGTGTTCAAGAAGCTCGATCGCGGTGCAGCGGATGGACGGATGAGATTTCACGGGGAGCATCACAGCGCCACGGGTTGTTGCGGCGACGGAGGACGACGACCGCCATTTATGGGGACGGAACCCTTTTCCTTGCGATCTCCCGTCGCTGTCCTTTCGTTTGATGCCACCGCTTCGAATTCGGCGTGGAAAGAAGGCGATGGGAGAGGAGGGGGCGAAGACGCGAGAGACGCCACTTGTGGGAAGCGATCGGACGGTGGCGACGCGTGGTACGGTCAGATATCGACGGTAGATATCGGTCCACGTCGGATTGCGTTCGACCCACTCGCGTACCACCCATTAAGCTTTAGTCACGTGCCTGAGACGCCGGGGCCCACCGAGGCAGCAGCAGGTGGGACCCCTCGAGGATCCGGTGCGTCGCGGAGACGGTCGAGCGTTGTGACCGGGGTATGTGTCCCGTCACGGGACGTCTCTCGACTGAAGCCCGGTGTTGGCGGTGGGGCGAGGGGCGGTCAGGGGGAAGGCTGCGGGGAACAGAGATGGGATTTTGGGCGGTGGAGGCGCGTCGAGAACAGAGCCGCCAATGTCCTTTCGACAGAACACCACACAGCGTTTTTCCACCGATCACGATGGTGCCAGCTGCCCTTCATGTCTTTTTTGTCCAAAGGTCGGGTGAACAAGAGAACCAAGACAAGGTGTGGACACCACCATGGCATCTCTGACAAGGTTACGTACCTTCATGAGAGATATATCGTGTAAAGAATGTCCCTTTCAATCACATATATATATATATATCTAATGTAATGTCCCACAGAATAAATGCTTATACTGTTAATTCCATCTCAGACCATTAAAGTATGACATCAATGCAGAACAATCCTTTGTATTGTTGAAGTCCCACCTCTTAATTATTGTGTTGCTACATGACAGAAATATGGTAGCCAATCTCTCTCAACTTAAGCCACCAACCACGTGAAAGAATACCAACAAGTAATGATGATTACTATTGCTTGGGAGGTGCCCAATTGGGTCTTCCCCAAAAGAAAGGAAATAAAATTCATAACTAACAAGACCTTCTTCTTCTTCTTCTTCTTCTTCCTCTCTCATTTACACAACCTTTTTTTGGTTGATTTCCTGAGTTACCTTTTAGCTTGGCTTTGATCGTGGAAGGGCAGAGGAATTGCTCTTGGAGTGTAGAGATGCCACACCATGATCCTAGAGCAGTCGGCAGGAAGACACTTCAACTTGGTCTCATCTTCCAGGATGACTTCATGCACAAACTTGATTGAATCCTGAAATTACACATCACAATGTTTTAGAGATAAAAAGTCAGTAGTAGGTGAGAGCAACTTTCTTGAGTTGACTGGTCACCATCCGCTGGGACAAAACCATGTTACTAGTCCTGATAGAAGGTCCCCTGTGCTACACTTTGTCCTTCATCAGTGAAGGGAGAACGAGTTGGTAAACATCTTCCAAGGCTAATAATTGAGAAGGTTGCTATCGATTAGGTGATTGATAGAGGTTGGGAGTTCTATTGAAGTCCTTGTAGTTACAAAGATATTGCTTCCAGAGACAGCTGGAAAGAACCTTATGTGAAAGAGATGGAACTGATGCATGCAAGAATAAACATGGTCTTACTAGTCAACGACAAAGTTCCTGAGAGACTAAAGCAGGAAAGAGATTGTCTAGTAATGATGTTATGCATTTGCTTGAACTGCAGACCAAGGCAGAAATTACGGTTTGATCTTATAAATAATGAAGCAGAAAATTTACTTGAAGCTCTTGAATTAAATGCTAACCTGCGAGGTATCAGGCAATGAAGTAGGGCGACCCCAGCGCTCAGGATCCCAGAGTATGGAGCTATTGAATGCAAACCCAGAGATATTAATCTTTGGAGGTTTAGGGTTCATGTCTGTGCCAGTCGGCAACAGCCTTTTGTCATTGCTCGAGTCCTTCAAGATCCACCCTTCAACCCTTGATGCACGACAAACTGGGCCGTCCACAACCACTCTTTTCCTGTTTGTCGACACCATTGCCACCGGCCATGTCCCGAAAGCCCTGGAATTTTGACTTGAGAGGTATTAGTGCTTCAGAAGGCAACAGCTCTAAATTCTCTCATTGTTTGGCATTTTTGGGACCAATTCAGTGAGTTTCTCTGAGATGAATCGGTAGAGTTGGATTTCTGAGTCCGATTGCATGGTTTGAAGAACAAATCAGACAAGAAATGAATTCAGAGATGAAAAAGAAGAGGGAAGACATTCAGAGGTCCTAAAAGGACAGATTCCCATGAGACCCAGCTTGCATCCATTTAGTCAAAGGAGTTGAACGACGGCCGCCATCGATGTTGCCGACACGAGAAGAATGTGCAATGAGGCAGCATGTGCAAGACACGGATTAGGGAAGAAAAACTAGTGAGATTGGCTGGAAAATACTTTAGAAGGTTTTGGTTTAATACGAAGGAAGGCAACTTCTGCAATGCAAGTTCTGTTCTTTTGCTGTCAATTGATTACAGAATGGTATTCTAAGATCAGAGTTGAATGTAATCAACATTTCTTTATTATTCTTCAATGCTTATCCTTTACATAGCTATTTCTTGAACTCTAATTATGCTCGACGTTAATTCAGGAAAACCATGGAGTGAAGATATGGAAAGAAGTGTGAGAGAACATCAGAATCGATGAACTAAACATCTTTAGGCTATGAGATGGATTATTGGAAACTAATGGATCGAAGCCTCCTTAAAGACGAAACAAGGGAAGAAAATTGAGAGAAGAACATCAAACATGCGGTCAATTCTCCTCATTCCTCTCCCCAAGAAGAAGTATTTAACCCAAATGATGCAAGAGAAGGGTGAGATTTGGGCTCAAGTGTCAAGAACGAAACATGCCCATTCTTCTGCTTCTTAGGAGAAATTAGAAGATCGGAGCTTTTCATTGAATGAATGATTCAAGTTGCGGAGGAATTGATACTGATTCTATCTTTTAGTTCCTATTCCTATTGAGTTATGAGCGATTTCTGGTGCCGCTAATTAGTTCATACTGGGCAAATAAATGAGAAGAGGAAACAGAGCAGAAAAAGGGAAGAATGGTCATACTCGATCTCTCTAATCTCCTCGAAGAATCGGAGATCGTAGGCATTGGATGCGCCGGCGAAGTGGACGATCCCGGTGAGGCGGTGGTACTCGACGTGGCTGAGGGCGACGTTCCGCTGGTGGTCGGCCTCCGCCGCCGGGTCGGTAAAGTTCTCCTTGAAGGTGAGGTGCCTGTAGATGACGCCGGTGGTCCGCAGCATCGCGGCGGTGGCGGGGGCTTCGGCATAGGCTTGGACGACGATCCACAGCAGCGGCGGCGGGACCAGGCGCAGCGTGTGCGCCAGCCGCAGCAACAACGCGCCCTGGAACCGGTCGTCGGCCCGGGTCGTCGTCACGATGATCAGAAGACGCCGGGACGGCGGCTGCGCCTCCACGGACCCCTCCACAGACGGCGGCGGGTCGTCGCTGTCATCTCCGGGCGCCACAGCGGCAACCGCGGCAGATCTGGGGATCTCGATCAGGCTCCTGTTGACGGCCTCACCGTCAGGCTCGACGACCTGTTCCTCGGGAGCGGCTGGGTGGAAGCTGATACCGGTGACGGGCTGGCGATCGGCGCGGCGGTGGGAGAAGAGGGTAGCGGTGCTGTGCGGCGCAAAGCCGGTGAAGAATCCCATCACGAAGCATAGCGCGAAGTGCACCAGCGCCTTCTTCCATAGCTGAATCCTCTTCTTTGATCGATCCATCGATCCCATTTCGCTCGTCAATGCCGCCAAGGCGTATCTGAGAGAGAGAGAGAGAGAGAGAGAGGGGTTTGGTGGTTAAGTGGGAGGGGTGGAAAGCGGGTTAAAAAGGGCGGGAGGGGAAACGGCAGTAAAGTGAAAGGGGAAGTGTGAGAATAATTTGAAGGCGTGTGCGTGTCGATGCGATCGTCTCCGTTGCCGATCAACTCATCTCTTGGAGGCAAGGCAGGAGAAGGAAGACGAAGGAGAAAGGACCGATTTGATGATGGGTTACTGTGTGCTACTAATGATGAGTCAATGCGTGCTCGCAGGAGAGGAAGGGGAGGGATGGTGATGCTTCAAAAGTCGTGCACACGAGAAGTGATATGGTCGCCGACTCCGTGTTTATTAGTGGCAAATGTGCACACAGAGACGCCAGACAAGTTGGGGATGGGGATGCGTTGACCAGAATTTGGAGATTGATTAGGGCCGGCATTGGCTGATCATTTGCACGTTAGTCTCTTAAGCTATGACTTAAACGCATTGAGGCCCAGTCATTTTCACAGCGGTCTATGGGTCTTCGTCACTGGATTACGTCCAATTCCAGCAAATTTTTAGGTGATGGTGAATCGAGGTAAACTCAATTGGATGGCGTTGACTTAATGTGAGTCTATGGAATTCACCTCTTCGAAGCTGACACCACTGACTTTTACTCTCTTTGATTTCAATCATGCAAACTATCTTGTGCACATTTATTAAATGTATCTCAAAGTTCAGTATTTTCAGAATCGACATTTAGATGTAAACCGATTTTATCGTACGAACGTCGTATTTCAGTTTGCGCTTGCATTTTGATTTCCATCATAAACGGCAAACTGCCTTCATATATTTACTTTAACACCATCTCGCTCAATCTTAAGTTAAAGTAATCTTAGAATCGGCTTTTACATCGAAATCGTTTTTATCGAACGAACACAGCTTTCGGTTTTAATAGTTGAAAGATTTCCGCTGCACTAATTCACCCCCCCCTCTTAGTGCTCTTGATCCTAACAGATCGATCCTCGACCGTCGATCGATCGACCGTCGTCTCTAACTCCAAAGTTGTTTCTACCACACGGTCGCCTGATACCTTCTACGTTTGCATCCTTCAATCATACACCATGCTATCCTTCCAATGTGACATCCAACAGTTTTGTTGACTCTAAAGATGTGATCAATAATCAAACACAAGTGTCAAAAAATCAATGCAAAAGTCACTGTTGGATGGCTTCACATTAAAAAGCAAATCCGTAATTGAATTAATTTCTTAGTTGAAATATCTTTTTCTCTTGTTCTTTTGACTTTTCTAATCCTTCTAGATTTATTAGAGAAAAATCTAAAAATACATAATATTTTTTATGCTTATTTATCATCAAAATATAGAGATATATTAGATATCTATCGAATAATAAAATATTTCTCACTAATGATTTCTAAGACTAACTTGACTCTTTCATTCAAAAAAGTTTTCGATATTTAAATTGTTTGTTCTTCGTTAATATACTCGCTATCTTAACACATCTATTGAATTCAAAAAAAAAATATTAGATCAGATCTAGTGGTCCATCGTTCGATTTACGATGAATATTTTTTTCCTCCTTAATTTGCTTAAAAAATAATAATTTTTCTTTAAAAAAGTAAATGACAAAAAAATAAGATTCGAATCAAGATCTTATAATAATTTTTTAATAAATGAATCTAATATACTACCACCGTATCGATCTTTTAAGTAGAATAAATTGAACTCGAGAATGGCAATCCACGTGAAACATGTTTAAAATGTCGTCTTATGATCACCAATCTCATGACATTGCACATCTTTCTTGCTCATTGCTTGTCCGATAGCGTCCCTCTAAACCTCTCTTGATGTGCCCGTGAGACATGGACAACCCAGGAATCAAAACTCATGTGCTCATCATATTGATATTGATGATCATATATGTATATATTTATTTGTAACTATAATTAAATGTTTCTTGCAACACATGTGTGCCGATAATGATTGCCATACTGTCACACACTACATTAAAAATCAATGTCGAGAAGGATTGTCGACGCGATCTTTTTGACGCTCTAAATTAGTAATAAAATAAATAAATATTTTTAATAATAATAATAATTGAGTTCGATTATCATGACCTAAAGGGTTTTTATAATCGATTAAATTAAAAAATATTTTATAATATTTTATATTAGGCAAGTGTGCATGTGGTTCAATCGTTGATCCAACTATGTTTCCACATATGGAGACGAGACATGATTGAGATAAATATTTTTTTAAATCTTTGATTCTCGTATGTTTATAATTTTATATTATTATATATTTTAAGACTATAGTCATTTATATGCCTAAAAAATTTTAATATTTATTTTGCCAAAGTTGAAAGTACTATACTCACATTTCTAAAATTTGAGATTATATATATATATATATATATATACTATCTCAAATTACGGCATACGCACATATCAAAACGTTACTGGTCGACGTATACATATATAGCTCGAAGCGTTCTGTTCCGAGCGATATATAACTTACAGTCGACCTCTATATATATCGATCCGCGTTCACAGTAGCTCCCATCTCGTGCTCAGGTAATCCATATCATACTCTCCTTCCCCGAGTCCCCGCTGTGTCTCGTTCCTATGGGCTCAGCTAGTCCTCCTCCTGCCGCAGGCGTCGTCGGCCCTTGCGCCGCCTGCAAGGTCCTCCGCCGTCGATGCACCGACAAATGCATGCTGGCGCCCTACTTCCCTCCCACCGATCTGCGAACCTTCACGAACGCGCATCGAGTTTTCGGCGCCGGTAACATTACCAAGCTCTTGCAGGTTAACACATCAACCTCGAGGTTTACGGTGCACCGGTTGCATCTCTGTCGTGAATATAAAGTCGATAACCATGACGCTATGGTGTTCGAATTAATGCCCCCCAACTCTACCCGCTCGTCTGACTTAGACACGGATCGTCGCATCGACAGGAAATCCCGCAGTGGCAGAGGCAGGACGCGGCGAGCAGCATGGCGTACGAGGCGAATGCCCGGATGAGGGACCCGGTGTACGGGTGCACCGGCGTCGTATTCCAGCTCCAGAATCAGGTGAGCGAACTCCAAGCTCAGCTGGCCCGGGCGCAGGCGGCGGTCGCCAACCTGCACGCCGAGAACGCGAACCTCACGGCGCTGATCTGCGAGCGAATGTCCCAAGCCCTGCAAGAGACCACCGCGGTGACCGTCGACGGCATCGCGCCCACTCCTTACGTCTTCCAGAACGATTCCTTCTTCCTCGACGGGAGCAGCGTTCCGGGCTACACTCGGGAGCCACCTCTTCGGACATGAGCTGCCATGGCACATCTCAGCCGCAAACAAACGATGAACGACACGCTGTATCGAGAAACTCATATCGACTTGATTCCTGTACTTCATTCGGCAGCATAATTTGGGCTAATATTTGTTAGAATTGAACATCAACTTATAATTTAAATTTGATTAAACATTGAGTTTTAGCTTTAGAAATGAAAGATAGAACAAGTGGCTGTGTCTGCACTGTTCATCAAGCAATCCGATGAGCTGTAGCGTGAAGTAGAACACCATGGCTTGTACGACCGTTCTTCATCCGCTGTTTCTATTGGGTTACGACTACAAGCCGGTAACGTGGAAATTGCCTGTGCTTGAATCAATCATGCATGGCCGCTGGCCAAGTGGAAACACGGTTTCACGGATGCAATGCATGGCGGACGTCCTCGTGGGATAAGGACGAGAAGGTATTTGCAGAGGAATCTTTTGCATAATATTTATCTTTTTATTGCGTCATATGCTAGTTTTTCTATAATCATATGATACAAATAATATTTATTTTTTATCATAACTTAATACATATCTTTTGATTAAAAAATAAAAATTCTCAATCATCGACCATCAAGTTAGCGATCATTGATTCTCCGTTGAGCTCTAATGAGTCCGATCGATCAACGTTTTATATCTGACTATCAATATTTTCTCTATCATTTATATACATAAAAAATATCAACCTTACAACAAATCGAGTAATTTATGGAGAAGGAAGTTGTCAAGATTTTGACAAATGCGCAATTGATTCCACATGTCCAATTTGGCGAGAACATCAACTTAGAGCATTGTTTGATCTCGATAACTTTAATATTGCAACAATTGATTTCATGATTAATTTGTGACGTTAAGTAATTAATTGATTAAGAATCCAAGTCATTCTTTGGTTTTTTTATTATCGATCGATTAATCATCTTAAATCGTGTCCGTCCAATCTCATGGATTTGCGAGCATTGGGTCCGCCAATGTGATCGGATTCCACGGCCGTATCCGAACTTGCACGTGCAATCGAACCAAACCACTTCCGCCCACCGATTCGGTGCGGTTTGGCGGCGCGGGCGGCGGTCGCTGAGGATCGTACTCGAACTGAGGTGACGTCCTCTGCGAGTGACGACACCCCTAGCAACCGCCCCGACCCACCGATTTACCCACCACGAGCAACCAAAATCCAATGCGGTAACTTCACGGGAGGTGCCCTGACTTCCTCGACCATATGCTCGTCTACCCTCGAGAGTCTTCTCCCCTCAACGCAGTTCGACTCCCTCCTTCGATTGGAACCGGCGACATCAAAACGGAGGTAAAGATTTAACGTTCCTACTTAATTCCTTTTTAGTGAGCCCTTCCGTTCTCTGATCGATCGGGGTTTATGCTCGCCTCTTTCCCTCAGATCGATCTGTGACATTTTTAGGGCTTACGCTTCTGCTAGTTTGAATCGATGGGGCACTCGAGTTTCTTCTAGGGTTTTTGTTCTTTTACCGTCCACATGGAATCGAGTCCCTCGGCGAAGAAGACAGGAGGCGGCAGCCTCGATCTCAACTCTGTCGCCAGCGAACAGCCGGAAACACTCGCCAGTCCCGTGGATTTAGGTTCGGGCGCGTTGGAAGTCGGAGCGAGGGATGATGCATCCGCTGTTGGGCGTCGTAACGTCGTCGGAGAACAAGCGGAGGAGGTTGGTGTAGAACAGGATGGTGTCGAGAAGAAAGATAGTATGGCCGGCGAAGAAGTGGTCCAAGCTGCTGGAGGAGAGCGCGGAAATGGATATTCTGGCGCCGTCGATGTTGGCGATGTGAAGGATGTGGTCGAGGCCACTGATGGTAAGGACACAGAAGATAGAGGAGAGGGTGCTGAAGCTGAGGCCGGTGAGGTGAATGTCGCTGTGGAAGTTAAACCTTGGTATGAAGACGCCGATGTGGTTGATGAGAAGGCGACGATCGAAGGGGATACTGTTAGTCGAGAGATGGCTTCCAATGTTGGTAGGGAGGCTGGTGGTGGTGAAGATCAATATGTGAAGGTCGGTGAACAAGAATCGACAGCTAGGAGGAAGAGGGGAAGGCCCCGGAAGTTGGTAAACAAAGGAGACTCTGTTAGTCAAGATGTTGGTAGGAAAGCTGGTACCGATACTCTCAGCAGTGAAGAACAAGTATTGTCGGCAAAGCGAATGAGGGGAAGGCCACGTCGTGCTGTCACTGCATGTATTGATGATGCTTATCGTCACTATCACTTTCAGGAAGAGAAGAAGGATCCATTTGCTGCTTCTAATTTGGTGTGGGGTAAGGTGAGGAGCCATCCCTGGTGGCCCGGCCAGATTTTTGATCCTTTGGATGCGTCCGAAATGGCATCCAACATTCAGAAGAAGGATCATCATCTGGTTGCATATTTTGGAGATAGAACATTTGCTTGGTGCGATGACTCGAGGTTGAAGCCTTTCCAGACACACTTCTCACAGATGGAGAAACAGAGCAGTATGGATGCATTTGTAAGCGCCATCAGTGATGCGCTCGAAGAGGTGTCACGGCGTATTGAGTTGGGAATGACATGCCATTGTTTTATGGATGAAACTTACGCTAGGGTCAACGACCAAAAGGTTGAAAATGCTGGTATACGGAAAGAAACATGTATCTCTGCCATTGACAAGTCTTGGATCGTAAGCTCCTTTGATACTGTTGGACTCCTCGACCGCATCCAGACATTAGCACGGTTCCCATATGGAGCAGTTGATAGGTTGGAGCTTGCGATAACCAAGTCCCTGTTGAAGGCCTTTTATCACTCAAAGGGATATCCCGAACTACCTGTATTCGTTTATGGTGAAGGACTAGGGGACAACGTCGAAGGTTCACTGACTAAGAGAAGAACATCTGGTAAAGATGTTGCTGATCCCTCAACTCCAACTTTGTCAGATACTGCTTCCAGAAAGGGGAAGTCAAGAGTTAGAGGGAGTTCATTCAGAAAAGACAAACATATAGTTGAGCATGGTAGAAAAAAGAAGAGCTTGTCTGAATTGATGGAAAAGAGTAGCGAACATCATGATGCAGATGGTGAAAAAAGTGGATCCGGAGGAAATGCTTCTTCTCTTTCATCTCACAAAGAACTTGAGGTTGCTGATTCTGATGGTGTTGAATCCGGGAAGAGCAAGAAAAAAAAGCTTGACTCTTTAGGGGATTTGACAACTATGTCGCAGATTTCCAGGTCCAAAAAGCAGCCTAAGTTTGGAGAATGTATGCGTCGAGTGGCAGGACAGATGTCAGGGCCACCCCCCATGCTTAAATTGAGTGGTAAATCAGTAACAAAACCCCCAACCATACTGAGCCATAGAAAAGGTGGCATTCCAAGGGACTATTCCTCCCCAGGTGAGATGCTTTCACAGCTCTGCTTAGTTGCGAGGGATCCGTTGGGGGGGTATGATACCCTGTCTTCAATAGTGAGTTTCTTCACTGATTTTCGAAATGGGACCATTCCCAGTATTTCAATGGATGAAAAACATAAAGGGACAGTTGCAGGTAAAAGGGATAGGAGAAAATCCACAAGTTTCACGGCAGCCTTTTCGGAAAAATTGGACTATATGCAGGATTCGTATTGGTCAGACATTATTGTAAGTGATGAAGAAAATTTAGTGTCAAGTGGGCAGAAAAGAGAACGAGAATCTCAGAGCAAGCGGCAAAAAGAGCAGCATCCTGAAGATGAATCAGCACTTTTACTTACCTTGAGTTCCCTGCCAGATACCAAACAGCATTTACAGGACGATTCCACGAATACTAATAATGTGAAAGAAATGCAAGATGCAAGGACCACTGGAAAGAGTTCACTGGTTTGTTCCTCAAATCCTAATAGCATGCAGGAAGTGGAATGTGAAGGACCCACTAGCAATTTGCAAAATGATATCGATGAATGCATGCCGACTGCACTGGTTTTGACCTTTAGTGAGGCATCTTCTATTCCCGCTGAAGCTGATCTCATTAAGTTATTTGGGCGATATGGGCCCCTTGTGGAGGCAGAAACCGAGGTTACAAAGTCAAAAAATCATGCTAAAATTGTCTTCAAGAGGCGCAGTGATGCAGAAGTTGCTTTAAGCAATGCTGGAAAATACAGTATCTTTGGGCACACCCTTGTGAGCTACAGACTTAGGGTTTTGGAGGTAGAACCAAAAGCTTCTCTGAGTAGCACGCCACTCAGCGAGCAAGATGCCTTGCCTGTCGCCTGATGCAAATGTTTCAGGTGCGAACATGACATCCTGTACCTATTCTGCATCGTCATTTAAATGTTATGCTTTAAGTAAGGTGTTTATCTAACTATTTTCATTTCTTTTTTTAATCATAGATAATAATGGAGCTATTCAGAGAACATGAATGTTGAAGTGAACACATTATTAAAATGAGCTGCTGACTTGGGTGACCAGTTTTTTTTAATATTGTTTTAGTTTGTTGAGGGGTCACAATATCCTTGTTCTGTGGAATTTATATGGTTTAGAGGACAAACGCAATGATGATAAGAGCCAATTGTTGATCATGTATATAGCCATCTTTAAAGTTCTGAAGTGACATTTTCTTCTCTAAGCTTGTTTGGTTTGTGTTATTTTCTGTTGCTGAAAATGAACGGAACAAAGTTATAATGTAAAACACAGAGCTACTATAACTGTGACTTGGAGTTGGTCTTTTATTTTTTGTTCTGATAGTGAATATTGCTTCGACTCCATGCTTCTCGTTGTCACCAAAAAGTGGACAGCCTCTTGAAGAAGTTTTCTTATGCTGATTCATAAATTAGGGTCGATGATTATGCATCTACGGATTATATGTGACCTGCATATTTGTTATTCTATCTTCTACCTTCTGTTACGGTGGGTGACCAAGAATTCTTGTATTTGTTGTTTCTGTACTGTTAGGCATTCAAATTATCTTATTGCATTGATAATTTCTCAAGGTACTAAATCACTTAGCTTAGCTTAATTTTCCTTTTGATCTTGTGGTTCTTGGGTCATTTGCATGGTTTGTTGGGCATTGTATAGGTTTTTCCAGGTGATTATTGCCAAATGAAAATATCTCATCTTCATATTATGGCGTGGTCTAATTACATTTTCTTTTGGCTGCAAACTATTTTTTTACATTGCTTACATTGCCTGCGTCATTCTGTAGTAGTAGCAGTAGTGTTCATGCATTGGACTGTATGAATGGTTGGTGACTTTTTCACCTGCTGCATGATAGCTTTGCTCCACACGACACTATATGTTGCCTTTTCCTTATTGACTTGCAAGTTCTGTTCGTGCTTTTCCAAATAGTTGTAGAACAATGAGCGAATGGTCATAGAACGATGTGTTCAGTATTGGCTGCTTGTTTTGTTCCCGAGCTTTATATCTGCATCAGTTTTTTATCTCCCTGATCGTAGTAGCTACATTTGAAGGCTGCACTTTGATCACTGGGAGCCTGCATGGTGGCTCGATCTACCGCAGGCCTTTGATCCTGTTCTAATTTGTAATCTTATGTAAGCCATCTTAAAATGGTCATGCTTTTGTCTCATCGTATGTTTGCGTATGTATCTTGTTATATATGTGTTCAACGATTTGGGGCTTTCGACTCGGGCTTATCGACACGAGACATATTTCACATTCTTTCTTATGGTGAGTTGACCGCCTACTTAAATCGTCTTCTATTTATAAGGATCAAATTTTATATATGTTTAATTGATGTAATATTATCACCCTTTTATTTCTTTTTTTGTCCGGGGTGATTTGTTAGAGAGCGGCACTGCTGCCTCTATAAATACTCGTCCTCTCCCAATGTCCGTCCCCCGTTCGTCTGCAACGTCCGATCTGACGAGTCAAGAAAGTAAGAGGTAGGAATCGTCCTCTCTTCTCTTGTGTTTCCGCCACCGGCACCGACTTCTTTCTCCTCGAACGATCTTGGAATTCTTTTCGCTATCTTCGAATGCATCTAGGGTTCTGGTGGCGAGCAGCGGAGGATGAGGGCCCGGAGAAGGCGGCCGGAGCCATGAAAGCGGCGATCGTAGCCGGTGGCCGGAGATAGTGGATCATGAGGAAAGCGCTCTCACCAATGCCTAGATCGTGATGTTTTCTTGCCACTGCTATCGAAATGGTCCCGTGTCTAGGTTGAGATCTCGATGTCATAGTTAGTGTAATCAGTGACCATTTCGATCTGTTGTTTTCTTGTTCCCGTCATGCTTATCGGATGGATCTCATAGCCGATGAACGCGGTGCCGTAGGTGGGTGATGACTATGCGCTCCAAGGAAGGCGGTCACCATTACGTCGCAATAAGAAGGGCGGAGGAGGGCTCTTGAGGGAGGAGTGGTGGAATCTCCACCTGGTTCGATCGAAGCACCAGGTATGTTTATTTGTGTTTCCGTCGGTGTTTCTCTGCCCTGTCACATAGCTATTATTAGATCTGAGTCTCATCCGTGGCTGCAATCGTATTGCAATCAATATGTGATAATGCCATGGGACAGTGTGTCTGTCTGATGATGTACTCTCGTCTCAGGCCCGGAAATGGTCCGCCGGGAGGGAATCACGGGATCATCTCAATTTGATACCAGCACGACGAGGGATTCCAGTTCTAATGTTTCCTACCAGGTAACTTTTATTGGGCATATTATGTCTTTAAGTCTTTAGATATAATGGACATCGATGGAAGATCTAAAAGATAAACCCTATAATGACAGCAACACTTATCATAAAGCAAACCAACCCAATGCTGCATCTTTGGACAGTTATTACGAAATTAAACTGAGAAGGCATTGCTGGTCATTAATTACGAAATTAAAAGTTTTTTTTTTTTTTGTATTTATTACCAGTATGCAATAGGAAGACCTTATAGGAAGAGTGGGAATGTTTCCATGTGTTTGGTCTGGCGAAGTGAGTGAAAGGTCCAAATTGGCGTATATCAATTAGGAAGGTGGAGACATATATCTCATTCATCCTTTGATCTTTTTTAACAGTCATCAATTAATCTGACTTGTGGAAAGACAATTAGATCCCACTCAATGGATCATATAACCAGAGAAAATAATACGCCGGCATAGGGGTAGGATTGTCTTACTATATTTTGTTGGAACCGCTGAGATTTGAGACTTTAAAGAATTGAAGGAAGCTTTGCACATTTGAGAGCTCCATGTCGATGGACGGAGTCGTCGCCTTCCCCTTTCATTATTCGCCATCACCATCTCGCTTCGCTTCTTCTCGTTCTCAAATAAAATAGCGAGGCATTCTCTAGCCTCTCTCGGATCCACGTCTCTTCCCCATCTCCCGAAGCCTTAACCCTGGTCCCAATTCTCCACCCGCCCCTTCTCTGTCTGCGAGTTCCAAGAACAGATCGGATCGGCCGGGATCCATCCGAGGATCGACGATCCCTCTGCGTCGATCTCCGCATCTCGGCGTAGGTCCGCCGATCTCCTCGCCGTCACTCGCCGGATCCCCGCAGGAGGAGCAGCGACCGAGAAGAAGCGGAGGAGATGAGCTCAAAGGCGGCCTTGTCGACGGCGCTGGCGAACGGCCGGTTCTTCACCGTCGGGCTCGTCGCTTCATGGTACTCCTCCAACATCGGGGTGCTCCTCCTCAACAAGTACCTGCTGAGCAACTACGGGTTCAAGTACCCCATCTTCCTCACCATGTGCCACATGACGGCCTGCTCCCTCCTGAGCTACGCCGCCATCGCGTGGCTCAAGCTCGTGCCGATGCAGTCCGTCCGGTCCCGCGTCCAGTTCCTCAAGATCTCCGCACTCAGCCTCGTGTTCTGCGCGTCGGTGGTCAGCGGGAACATCTCGCTCCGCTACCTCCCCGTCTCGTTCAACCAGGCCGTTGGCGCCACCACACCCTTCTTCACCGCCGTGTTTGCTTACCTCATGACTCTCCGGCGGGAGTCGTGGATCACGTACATCACCCTCATACCTGTCGTCACTGGTGTTATTATTGCCAGCGGGGTGAGCTTTCTTGGTCACATTAGGATGGGAATAGTTTCATGTTTGTTGATTGCATCTGCTCTTTGACCTAATAAAATAAATTCCATAATTCAGCAATTGGGTTGCATCTTTTAGTTAAAAGGTATGGATCCAGAAAAAGAAGATTCTGATCGACAGTTACTGTTCTATGCAATTCTCTAATGAGATTTGCCATTTCAAGAATGATGGAATCATATACAATTTTGATTATTTCATCTTCCAGCAGATATTATTCATGGATGGCGCAGTCTGCCTGAATTGTATATTTCTGGATTATTTCTATGTGTAGGAATAGGAAGAAAATTGCCATTCATGTCTTATATTCTACAATAATTCATAATTAGATGTTTCAATCATGGTTTGATAAACAAGTGTTGAGTTCCTGTTAAGATGACTTTGATTTTTGTAATTGTTTCCATCTTATGCATGTTTAATCCCCTCATCTGTCAGTGTAGCAAGTTCTAAGACGAACATGTTCTCCATGATCAGTGGGATATCTTTCTCGGTTCCTCCTACAGAGCTTTAAGTCTCTTGATTAGCTTTTTCTATCCAAAGATTGACGTGCATGAAAGTGTGACAATACTTTTCTGATGGTTGACCAGTTTTCCTTGAGATTGTTAAATCTACCTTTATTTATTGGATCGAGTCACATTGATATATGTAGGTTTGCTGTGACTCAGCTACTCGTCATATGAAAGAAGATTATTCAGTTGGATTCCTTTCACTGTTGTTAATTAGAATCTTTCTGTGTGTCTGAGCTTCACTAGGTGTGTGTTTCTGTTGAACATTAAGCTTCTTCTAAGCTTTTGATTGACATGGTAGGAAGCTGGCAGCTATGTTTTTTTCCTTTATAATACTATGTCTTGTTTTTGCTAGGCTTCATTTCTCTTCTAGTAATATTTTGCTTTGACCTCATATGACAGCAGATGCTAGACATTTATGCTACCTGATAACTGTTCAACCTCTATGATGCAGGGACCTGAGTTATTTGTAGAATATGCCAATGGTTGTGCAAAGGATTAGTTCGACATGTGTTTTATACACCTAATATTATTTTATTTGCTAAATTAAAGATTGGAAGATGTGAAAACTGACACCCTAACGGTTCAACTTTATGTAGGGGGAGCCAAGTTTTCATTTGTTTGGTTTTATTATGTGCATTGGTGCCACCGCTGCTAGGGCACTTAAGTCAGTGTTGCAAGGAATTTTGATGGCTTCTGAAGGGTGAGTTATTTATTTCTTTTCTCCATTAAGATATACAATTGAGTTATTAGTGTGGCAAAAATCCTTGGTTGAACTTTTTCTAGTTTGTTTCTACCATTTCATTGTTCAAGTTGATATGGTTGAGACTTTGAGAATATGTACATATGTTCATGTCTTTTTTTTTTTTGCATGCGTTGCTGCCAGGGAAAAGCTTAACTCTATGAATCTCCTCCTATATATGGCTCCAATAGCAGTAATTTTTCTCCTTCCTGCAACAATTATAATGGAGGAGAATGTCGTTGGAATAACACTGGCACTTGCTAGAGAAGACTTCAAGATTATTTGGTACCTCCTGTTTAATTCTTCGTTGGCATATTTTGTGAACCTGACCAATTTCCTGGTCACAAAACATACCAGTGCTTTGACCCTTCAGGTAAACTGCATTACTTTTTTTATGTTTATTTTTCAATAAAGTATTTGATTTATTAAATTCACTTTGTCAAATCTTGGCCGCCCTCCCTGAGGTTAAATCCTACTTCCAACATCTTCCTCAAATAGACATTGTACCAAATTGTGAAGATTCTGAAGAACCTAGTAATCTATGCCCTTGTCTTCAATTGATGCATCGCTCTTCCCACGTTATGTACCAGTGTTGTTGATCGGTTGGGGGGGGGGGCGCGGATTCAGGAAATTTATTTTTAGAAAGAATGGAGGTTACCAAATAGTAGACTGATTAAAATACTTTTCTTGTGTGCATCTTCTTAATGTTTTTTTAATTACCATTCGTAAGATTTTAATAAATGTTCTAAATTATTTGAAATTTTTATTATGTTCTTTTGGTGTTATTTTGCTGACCAAATGATGTGTAATTTTAAATTTTAATTTTTTTCAAGGTTCTTGGAAATGCGAAAGGGGCAGTGGCTGTCGTCATCTCAATTATGATATTCAGGAACCCAGTGTCCTTTACAGGGATGGCTGGCTACACGCTTACAATCATTGGTGTCGTCCTTTACAGTGAATCTAAAAAGCGCAACAAATAAGGTGTTTCGAGGGGCAGGACGATAGTTGTGCTCCTCATGATCCGATGGCAAATGCCTTCATTGGGGTTGGGATGTTACCCCACCCTGTTCTTTTACTGTAAACCTCGATGGATCCTCCTCCTCTGTATCAGTATAGTGATAGAGGATGAGCATGTTTGCAATAAGTATAGATGGCGTTTATGCCTTTACAAAAAAAGGTATATAGGAAGCAATCTTTGCCCCTTTTGTTTTCAAACATATTTATAGGCAAAGGGTTGTAACTGTTTTTGTTTTATATTAATGCAACGATACATTACTCAAAATTATGTGACAATAGTTGTTTTTGCTGAAGGACAGTCTTTCAGGCAACTTTGTTCAGGGTTGGATGGTGCTAGAATTGCTCCGTCGAACTACCGCAAAGCAGCATCAAAGCAAAAGTCAAGTGGCATTTTGTAAAAATTAAGAACCAACCCCTAAAAATAACCCACTCCATCAAAAACGTACCCGCGCAAGAGCCTCCCAGGTCTGTCCCGTAGCCTATGCTGCTCTCTTTTCCTCCGCATGAACTAGGCGGTCAACAGCGCAGAAAATCAAGAAACAAACGGATCCCAATATTTACAGCATATCTTAATGCAGGATTGACTATCACACCATACTGAGCAGTCAACTCTAAAGCTCAATCCCCATTTCCGGCATGGTATCACTCGAAGCTCAATCTAACTTATCCTGTATACTGATTCTAACATTCATTACATTTCCATCAAACTCCAATCCTGAAATCAAATATCATGACCTCATACAATGGTTAAATTTATTATAATCCCTAATATCAAGTCCACTCTGATAGCCTACTTTGAAACTATGTACACCCAAATGCTTAATCTCAAGTCAATGAGTATATATATATATATATATATATA